AGCATTTAAATTGAATACATTTTGATTTTTGAAAAACTCCCTTTTTATTTTTATACATTTTCCCTCAGCCCAGTAATAACTTCTTTCTGAATGAGCACACCTCCGCAGGCAGGACTTGCAAACTGTTGGTCTGGGTGACCTACTAAAAAGCCATCCAAGTGTCTCATTCTATGGTACTATATGAGTAATGGTAAAAGTTGCTTTTATTTTAAGATGATTATAACTCAGTCCCTTGATCTTTAGAAAAGAATTAGCCTCAATGCAAGACATGAACCAGCCAACAAGGAAGTGAGGGATAGGATATTCCACGTTGAGAGTAATAATGCTGTAGAGACAGGAAAGGTGGACCTTGTTTCTTGATTACCCTACTAATCACCAGGCTAAATATAGATCAAGTTCTACACAGATTATAAAAATATGATGCATTGTCCAATACAGCTCATTTTACTGATGATAACAGTATCACGGTTCTGATGCCTTATAACAGGATTTGCACAACTCTCCAGTAAGCCGGAGAGAAGGGTAGAGGAATTAATATCCTAGTTTTTATGTATATGTAGCAAGAAGGCTGCTTCAAGTATGCCTAGCCCCGAGCCTAACACACACTCATGTCTGCTTCATCTCAGGCCCAGAGCCCCAGATGCGTTCCATCATTTAGAAACACTTCAGAGACATCTATAATTTATCCCTTTAATATACCTCTAAATTAGGTATTATCATTACTTCTATGTTACAGAGGAGGAAACTAATGATAGGACTGGTTGAGAAATTCATCAAGGTCCCACAGCTAATAAGCAGTAGAGGTGAGTTTCAAATCTAGGTCATTCTGGTTCAAAAGTCCATCCATATCACAAAGCTTCACAGAACATATTTGGCAAATATTAGCCAAGCAGTAAGTATTTCTTTTTTTTTTCTTTTTTTTTTTTATTTATTTCGGCATATTATGGGGGTACAGATTTTAAGGTTTCAATAAATGCCCATTTAAGCAGTAAGTATTTCTGATCTGAATTCTTGAGGAAAACGTTGACACCTTAATTGAAGAATTTTAATGATAATCGTAAATGTTCCAGCCATTGAACTAGTCATCAAGCAATTCACATGAATGGTAGTAGCTAATGTTATTTTTAGAGAGCTGTACTGGTCAGGGTCAGCTAAATAATGCTGCAGTAACAAGTGACTCCTCAATCTCAGTGCTTTACCACAACAAAATTTACTTCCCATTCATGTCCAACCCTGGTCAGTGAGGGCTATGTTCATCTTAGGCACTCCGGCCGTTCCATCCCAGCACATACTGCTGTGACTGCCGAGTTAAGAGAAGTGAATATCACACGCTGGCTCTTAAAGCATCTTCCCTGAAGTGACACATTTCACTTCCACTCACAATTTTTTGGCCAAAGCAAGTCATATGGCCACACTCCAAAGAGGTTGGGTAGTTCATCCCACCATAAGCCTGGAAGGAAGAAAGCTGGAACTATTTGTAAACAGCAGAAATCCCCTTCCCGACTTCCAGGCAACCACTCATCTATTTTTTGTCCCTATAGTTTTATCTTTTCCAAATGCAATCACATAGTATATAACATTTTGTGTCCAGTTCTCCTCACTTAGCACAACACTTTTGAGATTCATCCATATTGTTGCCTGTTGCAATAGTTTGTTCCTTTTAATTCCTGGTGGTATTTCATTACATGGTTGTTCCACAGTTCCTCCGGTGAAGGGCTTTCTAGTGTATCTTTAAAGTGTTTTCTTCACAAATGCCTGCTTGAGCTTAACTACAAGAGATCTTTGCTAAGGGTTCCTGTTCAGTTGTATGTCATAGCTATATATTTATTCACCAACAGCTGGTCATCCGCTTGTGGCTCTAAGAGGGGCTAGATCTCTAGGACCTTTAATTTTAATATATTTATTTTTTTTGGCTGACTCATCTACCTATTTACTCACTCTTTGTTTTAGTGAATGCCTACTAGGTGCCAGGCACTGAGCATATAATGTTGAACAGGACAGTGTTGGTTCCTATCCCTGCAGAATTTATGATTTTGAACCCATTAATCCCTTCATGATGCTGGGAGCAAGTTAGAGAAGGATTAGTGTGGAAATGACAAGAACACTTTGACAACAAGTTCAAGGTCTTCAGGGGCAGTTACCAGCAAATCAGCATGGCAATGACATATTAATTCTGCAACTGTCTTTCCTTCTTTTGAGAACAGATGGGCCCTATTGAAGAGAACCAGTATATGTGTTGTTTTTTCATGGTTTATGAAGCGTTTTCATTTGAGTTCTCCCTTTTAATCCTCCCAACAATTCTATGAGGCAAAAATTATTGTCTCCACTTTACAGATCAAGACACTGAGGCTCAGAGAGCTGGGCATGACATCATGATCTGGGAAAAACAGCACAAAATTGTTGGAAAGTGTCATCATACCAGCTGATGGTGCTGCAAGTTTTTATGAGGTCAATAAAACTCGACAAAAATATCTTTATTCCTGGCACCTCTCTTGTATCTTTCTGACCTGATGTTCCTGCTCGCCGTGCCAGGTGGCTGCTGTGGTCCACTCCTGGGAATCGAAAGCTCTCGCAAGCTGTTCAATATCCAGCGTGGGAGGACTCTGCCCCGGTCTGCATCGGGCCTCCCGCCTTCGAGTACTTCCCAAGCAACCAGAAAGCGGCTCACTGTACATTGCTGAATTTTTTTCAGTCCAAGAATCCAAAAATACTTTTTAGACCTTCCATAGCTGGCAAATCAAATCCGGAGGTGGGGATCAGCATTGCCAGGTCAGAGGCACAAGTAGGATGAGCACTCAGGCCAGCTCCTCGGGTGTATCGGAAGTTCCTCCTATTTCAGGTTAAAAACAATCAGCTGGGTGCAGCACTACTCACAAAAGCCAAGATACAGAAACGACCAAAGTACCCATCGACAGAGGAATGGATAAAGAAATTGCGGTACACATATGCAACAGACTGTTAATTCAGATTTTAAAAAGGAGATACTGCCATTTCCAACAGTAGGGTCAATAAGAAACAAGGACAACAAAGAGGACATTATGAAATATGCTAGTCACAGAAAGACAAACACTATATGATCTTACTCATATGTGGAATCTAAAAATAGTTGATGCATTTCCATAAAAAAAATAAAGTAAAAAGAAAAAAAGAAAAATATTTGAATACTGAGAAACAGAGTGGAATGGTGGGAGAAGGAAATGGGGAAAAGTAGGAAAAAGGGTACAAATTTGCCATTTTGTAGGATGAATAATTCTAGAGAGCTAATGTATATAGCATGAGTACTATAGTTAATAATAGTTTATTATATACCAGAAAAAAAATTTTTTTGAGCAGAATCTCACTGTGTTGCCTGGGCTAGAGTGCCATGGCATCAGCCTAGCTCACAGCAACCTCAAACTCCTGGGCTTAAGCGATCCTCCTGCCTCAGCCTCCCAAGTAGCTGGGACTCCAGGTGTGTACCACCATGCCCAGCTAATTTTTTTTTCTATGTTTAGTTGTCCAGCTAATTTCTTTCTATTTTTAGTAGAGACAGGGTCTTGCTCTTGCTGAGGCCGGTCTTGAACTCCTGACCTGAAGTGATCCTCCCACCTTGGCCTTCCAGAGTGTTAGGCTTATAGGTGTGAGTCACCGGGCCGGGCCTATACTAAAAATTTGCTAAGACAGTATGTGTGAGGTGGTCTTGCCATACACAGACACACACACAAAGGTAACTATATGAGATGATGGCTATATTAATTTGCTTGACTACAGTAACCATTTCACTGTGTATATTAAAACATTATGTTGTACAACTTAAACATACAATTTCAAAAATAAAATAAAAAAAACAAACCAAAAAACCGAGTGCCAGGGAAGAGAAGGGCTGGAAAGGATGTGATGTTTATAATGCGTGGCGAGATGAGCAGAGCAAGAAAGTGTTCAGTAAAGGGCTCCTGTTAAGACTGCAGCCGGGCCTGTTAGCAGGTGTCTTGGCAGGCTGAGTGGGAGGAGGAGCCAGGTCAGAACAGGAGAGGGCTGCTGGTCATCTCCATTCAGAAATGTCTGATGGGGCCAGGCATGGTGGCTCACGCCTGTAATCCTAGCACTCTGGGAGGCCGAGGCTGGCAGATGGCTCAAAGTCAGGAGTTCGAGACCAGCCTGAGCAAGAGTGAGACCCCTGTCTCTACTAAAAATAGAAAGAAATTTATTGACCAACTAAAAAATATATATATGTAAAATTAGCCAGACATGGTGGTGCGTGCCTGGTCGTCCCAGCTACTTGGGAGGCTGAGGCAGGAGGCTCGCTTGAGCTCAGGAGTTAGAGGTTGCTGTGAGCTAGGCTGACGCCACGGCAGGCTAGCCTGGCAACAGAGTGAGACTCTGTCTCAAAAAAAAAAAAAAAAACAACACAAAAAAACAAAAAAAGAAATGTCTGATGGGCTGCAACCCTGATCAAAGCTGCCAAAATATCACCTTCATGCTCCAAGCTGCCATTACTGGCCTCCTCCAGTGCCCAGGTTTTTGCCATAAATCATATGAGAGGCCCATTCGCCCCCACCGAGGCACCCAAGGAAGCAATTGACTTCCTTGGCCACCGCAAGTGTGAGGTCCATGGCCCGTTGTCTTCAAGTTCCACAGACCCTGCCCACCAAAGCACAGATATGCTTCTTTTCCTTTCTCCTCCAAGACATGAAGAGTTGGCATGGAGTGTTAGCAGGAGGCACTCAGGAGGAAATCTTCAGTGTCTGAACTGGTTATTTATGCTCTCCAATTCATGTAAACAAAAGCAGGTGTCACATCCGTGTCAGGCTGTGTATCATTTCGGTCTCTCCGTCCATCCACCCATCCATCTGTCAAAAGTTTATTTCCTCACTGCTGGGCACTGAGGATGTGGAAATGACTTAGTCTCCACACTTGCCACGTGGAAATTCACTGTACAGTTCCACTGCTTAAGGAATGCCCTCCTGAAAAGTAGGAGTGCACTTTTCTAGTTTGCTCGTTATTAAGAGAAAAACACACAATGAAAATGATATTAATTTTATTGCATCATTTTACTGACTAGAACGCCAGACTTATAGTGGATATAAGTATAAAAATAACCAAATTCTTACAAATAATACTTTGCTGCTACAGTACTGAATAATTAGTGGAGGTTGCAATTATAATACAACTTTAAATAACATTCTCGTAATGGATTTAACACAATCCACCATGGGCTAAGGTTTAGAGGTTTACAAAGAGAAATCCAGGACAATGTGAAAACTCAAAAAGTTCATATTCCAGCTATATGCTTCATTTAACTGTAAATCCAGCAACACAGACACTAACAAAACTTAGAGCAACTCACAATGAAACAATCATTTTCTTTTTGGAACAGGCCAAGGTAATACAGAAAGGTGAGTGAATAGGATTAGCTTCCCAGGTAGAACTGGCTCCATCCACCCCTGCCCTATCCCATCCACCCTAGCCAAGAACTCTACACTGAAGTCTACCACAACCCCTCTCAAATAAAACCAGAATCTTTTATGCAAATTCCTTGAGATGTCCTCTTTGAAAATGCCCAGGGGACAAAGCCAATCTGGGACCGATCTCCTTTTATTTTTATTTTTTTCCCATCTTCTTTTAGACCTAAATGATCCCTTTGGTTTTCATGGGCTTTCTGTGAGCAGTTTACACCATATATGATGGAGTATAACACTATTGAAGATACTTTAGTACAACAAATTAATTGGCATTTACTACTTTAATGTTCCTACTATTTTAGTCAGTTCCCTTCCTTGGGAATTTGAGAAAAGAAGAAGAAGAAAAGGACACATACCCAAAGGCAAACACTATAAAACCATATCTCTGTTTCCAAAAACACTCGTGAGAACCTCAGAATGACACTTTGTCAAGAAGGAAATGAAATGTCCTTCCTAATACCTACAAAAGCTTTCAGATAGAAAAAACAGCTGACACTAAAGGTAATTTTAAATAAAATATAAAACACCAAACTACTGAACTTTGCATTTTTCCTCTGTGCAAAGAAGTGCTCTAGTCTTGAAGCCAGTGTATTTTAGAAATATGGATTGAAACCCTAGTTTGGAGTGTGTTTAGGTTACACTTAGCCAAGGGCAGGTGGGCTGTCCAGCTTTACCTCTCCAGGCAAAGCTAAACAGAGTCACAGGGCACCTGGGCACTTCGATAGTGGGCAACACGGCTTTCCCTTCCTCCCACCTTCCCCCAGCTGTAGGGTCCCACGGCTGGACCACGGCACTTCTGCACACATGAACGACCCATTCCAGGTGTGCCGGCTGACAACGAACACTGTGTCCGAGTGGAGAGACTGCCTGTGGTGTGTGTCCAGGTGTCCAGTCCTGCTCTGCAGCCCACGGGCTGCCAGCTGTTTCCCCGTGGCCCAGGCAGGACCCTGCTGGCGTCAGGAACCCTGAGCGGGAGCGAAGCCAACCTCTCCCTTCCTCGCCCAAGGCGGGCAGCGAGCACTGGGTCAGGCATGCCTTTCTCAAGCCTCGTTACAGCTTTCCCCACCCTCATAGGCCTCCTGGAAATAGCAGTCACTGTGTGAACCGACGTTGCAGGTGCCTCCCTTTTTCTCAGTTAAAACAACGACAGCAACAAAATAAAACACTCTTAATCCACTCCATATGGACACAACTCATGAACAGGAAAGCATTCTTGGAACTTATGAGACACTCTTTTCTGAACTTTGGGATCCTTCCCAAGAATGCTTTTGAGACAGAACACTCATTTCGTGGAGCTTAGAGCCCTGGGCCCGACAGAGGAGACGACTCGTCAGCTGCGATGTGTGCTGAGGGTAGGGACGGGTGTGCCAGGGGTAGCCTCCCTCCATGGCTCTTCCCACAGCTGTGGCTCGGGGGTGAGCAGGGCCGAGCCGCAAAGCAGGGCCATCTCACCAGGGACCCCAGTCCACTGGCTCAGGTGAGCGGATGTGGGAGCTTGGAGCTCTCCATTAGATGCAAGGCAGCGAGGCACAAAGGGGCCGTCGGTTGTACAGAGAGAGATGTGAGACCAAAGATTTAAAAAAGGTGATGCTTTGAAACTTTAAGTTAGCATCTGCTGACAAAAACAGAGTTGTTTTTATATTTACCTCATGAGATGAATGTAATTTAGCTACTAAAATGCACCACACCTGACCAGTGCCCCTGCTATAGCAGGGTGACGGTGACTTGTGGAGACCATGGGACACAAGTTCATATTTAAAACCGATGAGACAAGAATTGCATAAGAATGAGAACTGACATATGTTTTGAAGAGATTAGAGAACCTTGAAGAAACAGCCATGCCCAGGGCAGAATTGTCCCCCACGGCTGCACCGTTTCCAGAAATGCACGTGCCACAGCTCCCGGCTTCAGGGTGAGGACAATCCTTTTACCTCTGTCTTCCCTTCACTTCATCCAAAACTGCACTGTTCCAAAAGCAGGCGAATGAACACGGTTCCACAGGACCCAAGTCACAGGCATCATAAATAAGACGCGTGGCATTTCCTTCCCAAAGGCAAACTCTCAGATCTCTGACTGGCCAGAGTCCTGTGTTCTCCAACGCTGACTTGAATTCTAACTCTGTTTCTGGTGAGCACTGCACAGTAGCATAGAGCGGCACACATGACTGGGCGAGAAAAAATAAGTTATTTCTTCAACGAATAAATAGCTGTGAGTGATTGAAAGTTTGCATGGAGTCTGTGAGTGAGATGATGGATACGAGATGCTGCACTAGCAGGTAGGCAGGCTCACCTGCGGCTCTATCTCAGCCCCCTCCTCTTCCTTAGCATCCAGGCAGCTTCCCAAAGCACTGGTGATGCAAGAAATCTGACTTGCCTATTCAGCCTATTCCTCTAGCCACGTGCAGCTGCAGGGACTACATCAAGCTGCTCTTCCTGCATTCAGCTTTACATTTCTACTTCATACCCAGCAGCCTCTGGCTTCAATGATGGCGGCCAGGGTCCCACGCCCCAGTCAATGCCCTCTCGGATGAAAAGTGCACCGCTGTCTGCAGTGCCAGCTGCCAACCTGCCTGCTGGGCCTCACTGCGGGGCAGCTGGATGCATCTAACTAAAACTGAATGTAAGTTGTTTTGCCCCAATCCAGACTTGTTTGAAAAAATGAGATTTAACTGCAAATAGAAAAAAAAGTCTTAAATAAATGTGTCACCTTGACTAAAAAAAAAAATAAGTTGGAGTGGTGTGCTGTGCCTCACAAATTTCAATTTCTCATTTTGTGGGTTGGCCTAGAAACTGTCGCATGAGACAACCTAGATACATATTAAAATACTGTACGTTCAGCGGCAGCCTCTTCAAACCTTAGTGGCATGTTCATTATCATCTGTTGTTTGACACACAGGTAGGGAAATAACTAATAAGCCGATATTTTGCTGTAAATCAATCACCAAATTGTGGCCTATGGGAGTGTCTCAGGAAAGGAAGCCTTCTTTCTGGAACAGTTGTGAAACAAATCCAAAAGGAAACCTCTCTACCCAATTTACTAAAGTGCAAACTAAGGAAAAGCGGGTCCTTGCAGTGATACCTAGTGGTCTGCCCTGGCTGTTGGTTGCCGGGTGCCAGCGCCTTGGTTCAGTCACTCAGAGACACTCTCTTGGTACTGGCCCACATTCACATTCACAGTAACAACGGAGGTGCCAAAGGAGCAGCCTGCGGTTCCACATCCATCTGTCCCCTCCACTGTGGCCAAGTCCCTCACACCTGTCCCCGTTTCTGCTTGCCACTCAAGTGTGCTCCGACAAGTCCTGGGAGCAGCCTCCTGGCGCAGTCCTCTGAGCCACCGAGGTCCCTGGTCACTGCTCAGAGCAATGGGCCCCTTTCTCTCCTGAACTTAAAAGTAGTCTCTTCTTCTGCTCTCGTCGCTGATGAAAGACGGGTTATACTGTCCGGGGAAGATGCATGAATGCCGGGATCCTGGCAATCCAGTGTAGGCTGGGTAGAGTCCATTTCGTTCAAGTTCAGGATTCCTCACACTTGTCGGCTGGATGCCAAAGAGAAAAGAAGAAAAGTCCATTTACTATTCTTGTGTTTAAATTTAAGCATTAAAGTCCAGTGACTTTAGACCGGCATAGCAAAAGACCTGAGTTTATCCTGTATCACGTTGTTCTACTAATTATTATCTTAATATTTTAAAGTAGCTTTCTCTGTGGAGCACAACTGGCTTTAAATCCTCCCCAGCATTTAATGAAAGGCTACTCTCCCTGCTACTGCGCAGAAGGCAACTGTCACAAATGGGGACTGACTTTTGCAAGGCCCCATGGCCACCTTGCTGGAGGTGGAGTTAGGATCCCAAACCCGGAGGCCAACAGCAAACGTTAGGTGTCTCTAACCAAATACTAGATTAGTGGGTCATGAACCACCTCTCTGATCTGCCAAAAAAATCTCCCTGGGAGTAACAGGGGCTACTTCCAGGAGGCCCTCAGGTGGTGGCACCAGCGGTTAATGCTTTCCTGGCAGAAATGAAACATGAGATCTTGCATATTACGAACGTGAACCCCGAGGGAGCCCAATGTGAGAATTACCCGCAGAGCTCACTGCAAGGAACAGCTGTCCAGTCAGGTGACAGCTCCATGCCCTGAGCTTAGCCTCTGCCTCTATTGCTGCTCAGCCTACTAGTTTCGAAATAAAGATGGCATTCATTTAAGTTCTTGGCAATATCTATTTAAGGCACCTCTTTAGCTAATGCCATGGAAACACCCAGTGCAGCTGGGTCCCGCTTGCTGCTAGGGATCACACTGCGCTGGGGCCAGGAGCCCCTGGCAAAGGATGTGTGTGTGCAGACGCACCTGGCTCAATACCTGCCTGGTTATAGCTTCAGTCTTACAGAAAAAGACCGTCCTGATAAACAGAAAAAAGCAAGGCCTATGCAGAAATACCAACGGAAACATTTTCCCTAGAACTAAGCTTATGGCTCTGTCTATGTTTATCTTTCCCCTTATTTATAACGTTTTCTTCTTCCTGCAGGTTCCAATTTTTCAAAGAGTCTATTGAAGCAAACATGTCCTTAACATAAGCAAACTCGCCCCTCCCATCCAAAGTCTGAATCCTCATGGTTAATTCCCATAGCAACCAAAGGGATTGTGGTTCCTGTAACAAGAGTCTAGTGCCATTAAGTCCCCCGGGGGCAAGGTTTCACATTTATTGCTATTCCTGAAACAGCTGCACACGGCGCGAGAGGTCACCTGACATCTGTTGATTTTTCAGCTCCGATACCCTCGCTGTGTTTGCTTCATGGCCGACCTGGTGTGATGTGAGATGAAGGGGCAGCACACAGGGACACAACGTGGGCTAAATCCAGTGTGGGTTCCAGGTGGTCTCCTGTCTCTACAAATGATGCAGTCCGGGCTGGACACAGCAAATTACCAAACACCTACTGAGCATATCATCTTCTGAACCTCTGAGAAGTGTGCAGGACGGAACTGAATCGTTCTCTTTATACCTTTTTCCAATCCCCCAGTTTTATTTTATTTTATTAATCTTTTTCTTTTCTTTTCCACTATTAAGCATCAGTGGCAAAATCCCCCAGTTTTAACTACCTAACCACACGAGGCAATCATGGCAGACAGGAGATAAAAATGAAAGGGCCAAGGGCAAAATATCACTAAACTCTTTCTCTACCTTTCAAGTTCCAATCCTACAACTTAAATGCAAATTCAGTGACAAGAGCGTTATTGCTGCAACCCCATAAAGTAATGTGCCCTATGGAAATACCCACTGCACCTCTATATCTGTCGAAGGAGGAGAAGGGGGAGGCTTCTCTTAATGACTGACCCAGAGACCAGGTGAGGGAGAAGACGAGCATTTATTTACCAGTGAGGCTCAGAGGGCAGGGTTTAAATTTTGAGCCTGGAACAAAGAGTGGAACGGTCCTTTATACATTTACACACAGTTATAATACAGTTATCTCTATTCCTAGTGGGGGCAGGGTCCTGAGCAGGCAGTGGTCAGGCATGTACTTTGGCCTTGAGTTCTTATCTTTCTGGTGTAGGCCTGCTCTTTGTAAGTTACAGAAGTCATCAAGTAAGTTAGCAGTTTTACAACCTAAACCCAGAATTTTTACAACTTTAGTCCCTACTACAGAGTTTCCATAAATTTTTTTTCTATTTCACAGGGGCTGGGAAATAGAACACATCACCACTAGCACACATCACCACTGAAAACTACCATGCAAATAATCGTTAGCGTGTTGAATGTTAAAATATGTAAATAAGAGGCTCATGCCGCCATTCTCTGGAACGCTTAGCTAACTGTAATGCTTTTGCTACAACAGGACAGAATCCTTTACTTCTCAGAGGCAAGCGGAGCCCTGAGGTTGCTGCGGCGCAGGGATACACACCGAGTAATACACATCCGTCATCTGGAGCAGGTTTTTGGTGCTTCCGTTCTCGTGCATCTCAATAGCTTCTCGGCCCCAGTCTTGAGAGCGTGGGTTCTTGGGGTACTCAGCGTAGGGGGACATTTGGAAATCTCCACTTTTGAAGATGAGTTTGCTTATATCATTTTTATTCTTTCTATGGGGTAAAAAATATTTGAAAAGTTTAATGGATAAGTTCCGTAACGAAGTGATATCTAAGAAAGCAACAGCGATTATTTTATAACATAAATTAGACTGAAAGCTACCGTTATTTTTTTTTTTTTTTGTAGCTTCCCACTGGGAAGTGTTATTATTGTTGTTATTATTTTTAGTATTTCCCTAAAACAAGTGAAAATGCAGTTAGACGCAAAAAAAAGATGTGAAAAGTCTTCCAACCCCAAAGGGCCAGATTGTCAGCGGCAGGGGACAAGAGCAGCTGCGACGGAGCCGACTTAGAGCCGTGTGTGGGCAGAGACCACTGTGTCTGAGGGTGGCTGGGGGAACAAGTCTTAAATTCACAGACTGCTGGAGCCAGAAGGGCCCTTAGAGTTCTAGTCCAACGGTTCTCAACTCGCCCAAGTGGCAGAATCTACGTGGGAAGAGTCTGGGTCTCACCTGGATACACGGAATTAGGAGCTCTGGGGATGGGGCAGCCCTGGCTCAGTGAAGAGACCTGACTTGTCCCAGGGAGCCCTTTTGCTACTAGCAAAGCTGGGACTCGATCGCAGGCCTTCCAACTCCCAGGCAGTACCCCTTCTACTATAGGAAGCTACCTCACAAATCATAGAAGCAGGGCAGCTCGTTTGCAGAAAAGCCCACTTATTTATATATCTATACACATTCTCATTTCAGCAGGTCAGAGAACCCCTGCTTGTGAGATTTCACTGACTGGAAATTGTTGGAATATGTGTTCTTCACCTATCTGAAAACCTAGGACCAGAAATCTTATTTTATTTTTATTTTATCGTATTATGGGGGTACAAGTGTTAAGGTTACGTATATTGCCCATGCCCCCCTCCCCCCTCGAGTAAGAGCTTCAAGTATGTCCATCCCCCAAACGTTGCACATCTTACTTGTTGTGGTTGTATATACCCATCCCCTCCTCCCCCATCTTACCCTCCCGACACCTGATAAATGTTACTCCTATATGTCCACTTAGGTGTTGATCCGTTAATACCAATTTGCTAGTGAGTATATGTGGTGCTGGTTTCTCCATTCTTGAGATATTTCACTTAGTAGAATGGGTTCCAGCTCTATCCAGGAATATACAAGAGGTGAGTAGTACTCCATGGTATACATATACCACATTTTATTAATCCACTCATGAATTGATGGGCACTTGGGTTGTTTCCACAGCTTTGCAATTGTGAATTATACTGCTATAAACATTCAAGTGCAGGTGTCTTTTTCATAAAGTGACTTTTGATCTTTTGGGTAGATGCCCAGTAGTGTAATTGCTGGATCAAATGGTAGATCTACTTGTATCGCTTTGAGGCACCTCCATATTGCTTTCCACAGAGGTTGAACTAGTTTGCAGTCCCACCAGCAGTATAGGAGTGTTCCTCTCTCTCCGCATCCACGCCAGCATTTGTTGTTTCAGGACTTTTTGATAAAGGCCATTCTCACTGGAGTTACATGATATCTCATTGTGGTTTTGACTTGCATTTCCCTGATGATTAGAGATGTTGAATATTTTTTCATGTTTGTTGGCCATTATTCTGTCTTCTTTTGAGAAGTTTCTGTTCATGTACTTTGCCCATTTTTTGATAGGGTTGTTTGATTTTTTCTTGCTGATTTTCCTGAGTTCTAAATAGATTCTAGTTATCAGCCCTTTATCAGATGTGTAGCTTGCAAAAATTTTCTCCCATTCTGTGGGTGTCTGTTTGCTCTCTTGACAGTTTCTTTGGCTGTGCAGAAGCTTTTTAATTTGATCAGGTACCATTGGTTTATTTTTGTTGCTGTTATGTTGCCTTTGGGGTCTTCTTCCTAAATTCTTTACCTAGGCCAATGTCTAGAAGAGTATTTCCAACATTTTCCTCTAGAATTCTAATAGTTTCACACCTAAGGTTCAATTCAAGTCTGTTACCCAGTGTGAGTTGATTTTTGTGAGAGGTGAAAGGTGTGGGTCTTGTTTCAGTCTTCTACATGTGGCTATCCAGTTTTCCCAGCACCATTTATTGAATAATAATTCTTTTCCCCAGTGTATGTTTTTGTCTGCTTTGTCGAAGATTAGTTGGCTATATGAGGATGGTTTTATATCTGGGTTCTCTGTTCTGTTCCACTGGAAGGACCAGAAATTTTAAATTATATTGCCACTGGTAATATAATCTGAAGTTTTTTCCTTCTACCTCTCTTACCTATAAATAGATTTTCTAGGGCAGGCACAAAATGACTCAGGGTCATGAAACCAAATGTCCAGTATGTGGCTTCGGCATTGGCCCTTTGTAGACCTTTGGAGCAGACCCGGCACTGTGTTGCTTCCTGGAGGGGTGGGACCGTCCCATCTCAGTAACCCTCCTCTGAAGTAAGGTTCTTTCCCTAAGTGGCTGCCCCACCTGGCAGAGAACACGTAGCAAATACGAGGCTCATGTCCCTTTGAACACTTTGGTGTTGTCCCTCTAGGTAACTCCTCCTAGCCTCATGCTCAGAAGTTTATTTCCACTCAGTTTATCTTTGCTGATTTGATGGTAATTTAGTAAAGTATAGGCAAAGGCCTGCCTTCCCGACCAGGCAGTTAGGGCCTTCTTGGAGACAGAGGATATCTTAAAATGTCCTTCAAGTCAGTGGTGGAAGAGATAACTCACTATTTTGTTAGGTTCCCGCCATCTGTTATGTCCAGGTAATTCTGCGCTTTATTATCATCTAAAGCAGAGGTCATAATCTTCCCTTATCTGAATAGATAATCACAGGGGAGGGGGATCAATTCCCTCCTTTCTCCTCCTTCCCCAATAGAAAACTAATCCCACCGGCTTCCTGCAAGCCTAGAGCCAAGTGTCCTGCCATCCCACCCCATGTTGCTGGTGCAGCTTCCCTGCTGCTGAAATACTTCAGGCAACCCCTTTCATCTTTTGTATTCTGTCTGCTTCTCTTTCTCTCTATGCATAGCTTTACTGAGAAATAATTCACATACCATACGGTTCACCCACTGAATGATTTTTTAGCATATTCAGAGTTGTGCAACCATCATCACAATCAATTTTAGCACAGTTTCATCACCCCCAAAAGAAACCCCATATCCCTTAACTACCACCCCCTATGCTCCCCCTCCTCCTCCCACCATCCTCCACCCAAGCCCTAGGCAACCATTAATCTACTTTCCATCTCCATTAGATTTGTCTGTTTCAGATTTGTCTAATTCATATAAATGGAATCACACAATCAATAGGTGGTCTTTTGTGACTGGCTTGTTTCCCTTAGTACATTTTCAAGGTTCATTCATGTTGTAGCATGTATCAGCACTTCATTTTGTGGCTGAATAATATTCCATGTATGGATAGATCACATTCTGTTTACCCATTCATCAGCTGATAAGACATTGAGATTGTTTTCACCTTTTGGCGATTATGAATAATGTTGCTATGAACATTCATGTAACGTTTTTGTGTGGATATACATTTTCATTTCTCTTGGGTATATACCTAAGGGTGGAAGGGCTAGGTCAAATGGTGACTCTATATTTAACTTTCAAACTGTTTCGAAGTGGTCTCACCATTTTACATTCCCGCCAGTAGTATGTGAGGGTTCTAATTTTTCCATATCCTCACCAACAGTTGTTATTTTCTGGTGTTTGGTTTTTGTGAGCCATCCTAGTGAGTGTGAAGCGATATCTCATAGTGGTTTTGATTTGCATTTCCCTGATGACTAATGACAGTTGAGCATACTGTTATGTGTGCTATAGTTTAAATATGGTTTGCCTGTCCCCACCAAATCTCATGCTGAAATTTAATTCCCGGTGTGGATGTGTTGGGAGGTGGGCTAGTGGGAGGTGTCTGGATCATGAGGGCGGGTCTCTCATGAATACATTGATGCCTGCCCTTAGGGGTGAGTGAGTTGAGCTCTGTGAGCTCCTGAGAGCTGGTTGTTAGAAAGAGCCTCCCACTTCTCTTCCCCTCTCCCACCAGGAGGCTCCCCTTCGCCTCTACCATGAGGCAGCCTGAAGCTCTCACCAGATGCAAAAGTCCGATTTCAAACTTTCCAGCCATCAGACTCGTGACCCAAATAAACTTTCTTTCTTTATAAATGACCAAGCCTCAGGTATGCCTTTATTGCAACACTAAATGGACTAAGACAGTGTGCTCACTGGCCATTTGACCATCTTCTTTAGAGAAACATCTATTCAAGTCCTTTGCCCATTTTTAAAGTAGGCTGTCTTTTTATTATGGAGTTGTAAGAGCCCTTTTTATATTCTAGATACAAGTCCCTTTTTAGGCATATGATTTGCAAATAATCTCTTTCTTTCTGTGGATTGTCTTTTCACTTTCTTGATAGTGTCCTTTGGAGTACAAAAGTTTTTCATTTTGATGTCGCCCAATTTATCTCTTTTTTTATTTTGTTGCTTGTGCTTTTGAGCATTCTTTTTAAATAAAGAAAATAAAGTTCCATTTACTTCCCTTCTCTTTCCCCACATGTACCAACTATAATGAATGTCCCTTTTGTCTTTTTTTATAATGGTTTGGTCACACATCATGATTTAATACTGTAAACCACTTCAAGTATTCTTTAAAAGAGTTAAAATTCTTTAAAAGAGTTGACCCTCACATAGCACGGGCAAAGAAACAGGATTAGAGTTTGAATTCTCATCACTTACCTGCAGCAGGTGACTATCAGTGCAATGCCCAGGATAAGCAGAAGCCCTCCTCCTGCTGCTGCAATCACCACGGTGATAAGCTGATAGGCTAAACGTTTGAAACAAGCAAAAGATGTGGATTGTAAAAGGCAGTGAAGGAATAAGTGAACACTAGAGAATGGTCTCCCCTCCACTCTATAGCCACTAACCACCCTGTCTCCCTGGGGCCTCACTTCCCACTTCCTGGTCTCTGGCAAGGATCCTCATGGCTACTTCACATTCTCTCCCCCTTTTCAGCCCCTCCTAGAGTGGTGGCTCCTAAATTCCACCTTCAAGTCAGCTACTGATGACATTTTCACCAATCCATGGTTAAAAACAGAACAATAAAGATGAACAATGAGTTTTTCAAAAACTTAATTTGTTCCTTTTTAGTTAGCTGTTCTATAGTCTAAGATTTTGTCTTTCCTACTTTTTTCTCTCACTTAAGATGGGTGCCTTTTTCATGTATAAATTATGCATCAGTAATAATTTGATTTTTAAAACTTGATTTTTAAAAAAGCAATGGAAAAAACACAGAACCTTTTCTTGGCCACGTCCCACCTTTTGGTGTTGACTGTGGTTTACTTTTTTGAATTGATGGAGACAGTAGATATAAAAATTCTTGATTCAGTTTTACGTCCTTACTTGATAAAATAAAAAGGAGGTAATCCTAGTTAGACTCCCTGGTTCTATAGGAAACATACTTGTCAGTTAAGTCCAGAGCCCAGAAATCACTGCATGAACCATGCTAGGGACTAAGTTTCTTCATAAACATACATTGAATTCAGTTAACAGAAATTAACCATGATATAATCAGGTATACATTATACGTAATAAGTAATATTAAAAGTTTTAATTAATAGGTTTCATACCTGTGTATTCTGGCAAAATCATATTTCAGTACATTCTATTAAAAATTCAGATTTTTTTGTTGTTGTGGATATATAATTAAAACTGTGTTCTTATAATATTCAGTATGCAAGGCCAATAAGCAGGTTTTCTCTAGTAGATTAAGACTGGACACATGCTTTCTAGGCCTTCAGCTAAACTCCAAGGATAAGGCACAGAGTTGATACTCTCACCCCCTTCTCACTCAACTTCGGGACCATCAGGTGTTTACTAGGAGTGAAGATGGGTAGCCGGCAGACTGGGGCAGACTGGGAGCAGACTGGGGCAGACTGGGGCAGACTGGGAGCAGACTGGGGCAGACTGGGGCAGACTGGTGGGAGCAGACTGGGGCAGACTGGGAGCAGACTGGGGCAGACTGGGGCAGACTGGGGCAGACTGGGAGCAGACTGGGGCAGACTGGGGCAGACTGGGAGCAGACTGGGGCAGCCTGGGGCAGACTGGGGCAGACCGGGCAGACTGGAGCAGACCGGGCAGACTAGGAGCAGACTGGGAGCAGACTGGGGCAGACTGAGGCAGACTGGGAGCAGACACAATCTAGGCTATCCTTTTATTTCAATAACTACCACAGAAACCTGATGCTGTGAAAACCACCAGTATTAAGATATACAGGAAACAAACTCAAGCCATGGAACAAACTTATTCTCTGCCTCACCTCATGACACATGCATTTGGAAGTTTCATTTAACAAAAGTGATGACAAAAGACAGATCTCTGGAACTTATACACTTTTCTTCATTGTCAGTGACCTGAACTACCATCATCTCTCATCAGGACAACCACAACTGCCCCCAACTCATCTCCCTGTGCCCAATCTTGTCCACTTATTATAGAAAAAATATCTGATCTTGCCATTTCCCTGTTTAAAAAGGCTGCAATGGGTCCCTTTGTTCCTAGATGAAGACCAAAGTCTGCTTATTTCTCCACACCAAGTTAAACTTTCCCACTTCCAGCAAAACAAGCACGCATCTGTTATAGAAGTGACCCCGGCTGCAGGTGGATAAGGCTCCTTTTTGTTTGTGTGTGTATATGTGTGTGTATGTGTGTGTGTGTGTGTGTGTTTTGAGACATAGTCAGTGCTCTGTCACCTGGAGCTAGAGTGCCATGGTGTCAGCCTAGCTCACAGTAACCTTAAACTCCTGAGCTAAAGGGATCCTCCTGCCTCAGCCTCCTGAGTAGCAGGGACTACAGACATGTGCTACCATGTCCGGCTATTTTTTTCTATTTTTAGTCATCTGGCTAATTTTTCTTTTTTTAGTAGAGACAGGGTCTTGCTCTTGCTCAGGTTGGTCTTGAACTCCTGAGCTCAAGCAGTTCTCCCACCTCAGCCTCCCAGAGTGCTAGGATTACAGGTGTGAGCCACCGCGCCCAGCTCAGGCTCCTCTTTGGAACAGGCAGTTTTTTCTAAAAAGAGACACAGACAGTGTAGACCAGTGCTGCTAACTGTGGGCAAGGAGCAGTTTTTGTTTGCTTGGGCTTTTAGATATCCTCTTAAAATAAAGAAGATAAAGTCCCACTTGTTCCCCTCATCTTTCCCCACAGGAACAAACTATCATGAATTTTGCTTTCTCCTTTCGAAAAGGAGTTGACTGTGGACTGATACATTTATAAAATACTATTTTTTTAAAGGTTTCCAAGCTTGGATGTCACCGTCATGTCAAATAAATATAAACATTTCTAAGTGCTTACTCTCAGTTCCTGTGCAACCTTGTCCCAACAGCTCACTCTGAGTAGCGCTGGTGTGGGCTGGTGCTGTGCAAACTCTCGTGTGCGTCTCAGGCACCTGGAAGCCTTTTTGAAACACAGATTCCTGGTCCCCAATCTAAGAGATTTGGGTCAGTGGGTTTGGGCAGGGGCTCAGAAGTTGCCTTTCTAGCAGGCTTCCAGGGGACAGGGACGCTGCCAGCCTGCGCTCTAGACTGTGCATAGCACTGGTGGAGGTTACACAAGAGAGAAAAAACACTGGCCAGAAACCAGGAGACCACCCAGCACACAAGCAGATAGAGGATGGGAGGGAATCCACCAAAACGTTCACTGAAGTTAGTGCTGCCTTGGGTAATGGCTTACTAACTTTTACTTTCTCCTTTGTGCTTTTCTGTACACCCCAAATTTTATTTATGTTTTTACATATGCACATGCATACACACTCCTCCTCTAGAAATCGTGTGTGTATACATATTTTTAAAAGAGTTTATTTGATGTTATTTGGCAGCCACGTCACTGGAAACTTATATAAGCTTATGGACAACATCACCCACAGAGCTCTTTAAAATCATTCAACAACTGACCTTTTGAACTTAAGTACTGACTTAGATTTATTATGATGTAGAAGTACATGGGGTTTGAATCAATACCCACCATAATGTTTATTAGCTTCATAGGTGCTTTGAATATCTATTAGGGTGAGACAGAAGGCACTGTCACCTTAGGCTTATCTGTCCTATCCTTTCTGGTTTGAAAAGATTTTCCAGAATGAAGAACTCAGAATTCTTAGTCCTACTTTCTCTTTGATATTTGTTGACATTTCCATCTTTCTCAAGTAGTGGCTCTATGTTTCCCTTATTCTTCATAGCTTGACACTGTTGTCACCACTGTTAGCATTGTTCATCAAACCAACAACCCATTTCTGGGCCTTAGCCTTTCTTATGAGCTAATCTGTCTTTGCTGATATTCTTTTTTTTTTTTTTTTTTTGAGACAGAGTCTCACTTTGTTGCCCAGGCTAGAGTGAGTGCTGTGGCGTCAGCCTGGCTCACAGCAACCTCAATCTCCAGGGCTCAGCGATCCTACTGCCTCAGCCTTCAGAGTAGCTGGGACTACAGGCATGCGCCACTATGCCCGGCTAATTTTTTGTATATATATATTTTTAGTTGGTCAATTAATTTATTTCTATTTTTGGTAGAGACGGGGTCTCGCTCAGGCTGGTTTCGAACTCCTGACCTTGAGCAATCCGCCCGCCTCGGCCTCCCAAAGTGCTAGGATTACAGGCGTGAGCCACCACGCCCGGCCTGCTGATATTCTTATTTGGATGAAATCTACTGGACTATCTGCTCAGCCAGCCCCATTCTGGGAACGGTGCATCCCTTATCACCTGCAGTTGGGGGAGGTCATGCTTGTACATATATGTAACACCATCCCCTGACCACGGCTGATTAGTCCAGGAATAAACACATAATCCAAACTGGATCAATTAGTTCCTTCCCAGGAATCTCCAACTGGGAAAGAGAGAGCCTTCTCTTTCAAAATGGCTGGACTTAGGACACACCCTCAACAGCTGCGTGGTGATCCTGTTTTCCATTGTGTGGTCTGGGCAGGAAAGAAAGGCTGTGTACAGACACACAGCAAAGGGCAGAGATGAGATATGAAGGCGGAGTCATGTTTACAAGGGCTTTGAAAAGAAGCTGCCCCCTCCAGTTGCTGAAGTTCCCTACAACTCCCTGAGTCCTGCCATTCCTGACGCTGGAATTCCACGACACACCCAGGATCCTTCCAGTAAACTCTCTTTGTTGCTTAAGCCAGTGAGGCTTCTTTACTTAGCAACCATTACACCTCCCACTACAACCCTGGGCTACATTATAGACCTTTCTAGGTAGCCACATTCCTTTTATTCTAAAATTCATTCAGGCCAGTAATCCTAGCACTCTGGGAGGCCGAGGCAGGAGGATCACTTGAGGTCAGGAGTTCGAGACCAGCCTGAGCAAGAGTGAGACCCCATCTCTACTAAAAGTAGAAAAAAATTAGCTGGGCATGGTGATATGCACCCGTAGTCCCAGCTACTTGGGAGGCTGAAGCAGTAGGATCTCTTAAGCCCAGGAGTTTGAGGTTGCAGTGAGCTAGGCTGACGCCACAGCACTCCGGGTGGGGCAATAGAGAGAAACTGTTTCCAAAAAAAAATTATTTAGTTCTCTCCGTTTTTTCCCTCACTGAGCTCATTAGTAATGTGTGATTAGAATTTTGCCTTTTAAATATTTCCATCCCCCTTCCATCTCTGTTCATAGCATTCTTTTTTTTCATCTGTACCTTCTGAAACTTGCCTTTCTCAAGTCTATAGGTTGTATGGGGACATACCCAGTGCCCACTGTCTCCACTATGACAATTTCCCACACAACTCTGTCACTTTCTCTTGGGGTTCCGTCCCCTCCATCTAACCAAACAGCTTTCCTAGTAGGAGGATCAGACACAGGGCAGCGGTCCCTTCTCCCCTGTCCCTGCTTCCCTTCTGTTCTGACACAAGGGGAGGCCAGTCAAGACTGAGTAAAACGACCACTTTTAGCTGAATGAGATTTGCAGCTGACTTTTGGATAATTACTTCTCTCTCTTTCCTCCTAAGCAGTTTAGTGCCATCCTCCCGGATGTTTGTCCTGAGTGACGGCTGCCAACTCACAGCATTGCCACTGGTCTGAATCTTTTTATAGTTCAGTGGGACAACAGGGCAAACACAATTAAAAGATGCTTTATACACCTGCTGCCAGGCAGTGGGCTGGGCTGGAAGACAGTGTGGAATGGTGTTTAAGTGGAATGTTCTGGTTTCATCAGAAGAAGACTGTAAATGAGGAAGACAGGCTCTAAATCCTTGCTGGCCATGCTGGGAGGCTGGTGGGGAAGCAGTATGAAGGGACGTAGAACCTTTGGATAGAAAGCATGACCTACAGAAAGGACGTGCAGTGAATGTGAAAGAGGGATGGATAACAATGTCTACAGCCAGGAAAAAGTACTCTGGGAAAATTATGTGAGTTCTAGAATCACAAAGTGACAGTAGTCATAAAACAGAAAAATGACTTAGATGATGAGAATATTAAAAAACAAGATTTTAAAAGGTAATAAGAGGGGAATGGTTGAGCAATTATGTCCATAGAGTAGAATTCCACAGAATGATCAAAAGTGACTTAAAAATTATGCAAATGAAAACATTTCACAGTTTACTAGGCTTAAAAGCAGGTTGCAAAACAGTATATTCAGTGAGATCCAATTTCTCTTAAAAAGATACACACATACATAGCTTTAGAAAAATATATAATACCAATGCTTCTCACACTTTAACATGCATATAAATCTGCACATTAGCAAATTTATGGGTGAGTCTGGTTAAAATTTAGATTCTAATTCTGTAGGTCTGGGGTGAGGAGGCCTGAAATCACATATTTCCAACAAGCTGAGAGATGGTCCTGATACTGCGGGGCCCACGGACACACTCACTAGGAGGGAAACATGACTTTTAATGGCTGATGAGATTGTTTACTTCTATTCTTCTCTTCACATATAGCTATTTTTAAATTAATTTTGTTTAAAATAAGGAAAATTAATGGGCATGTATTATTTTGTTGTAAAACAAAATTAATTTATTTTAAAAAGAGAAAACAAGTGAAGCAAACCAAAGTGTCACAAAAGATATTATAAGACTGTGAGGAGGAACCGACATAAAATTCAGGCAACAGAGGAAAAGTGCAAGCCTAAGAAAAGGAGGGGAGGGACAAGCTGAGGAGATGGACTTGTCTGACAACAGATTTGTAAAAGAGTTCTGGGGCCTTGTGGTAAATGGTTTAAGACAGAATTGTTGGTATCTGGGGTATAAACAGAGAAATATTTTGCATGGGAAGAAAATAAAAGGCGAACAGGGATAAGACAGGTGCGGACCTGAGCTGCCAGGGCTGGGGCACTTCCTCGGGGACCAGACTTGAGAGAAGGGCTTGTCTCACCCTTTCTAGGGATTATTCTCCCTGAGGAGGGAGGACTAAAATCTGTGCACAAGCAGAAAGTTAGTAGGAACTTTTAGAAAGGCAGGATGCAAGTTATGCTGAATCCAGAATGTCCTGGAGTTGGATGACTACAAGGAATGTAGGAGTGAGAAAACCGCAAGCCCATGCGCTCGGCTGGACAAACCTGGCCTCTCCGCCTCCCTGGACTTGGGCAGAGTGTGTGCCCCAAGAAGCCTGTGTAGAGAAGAAGCATTTTTGCCTATGAAACATCTGCGTCACAGCCTGTGACAGCATCGCAGGAAGGCACCTACTTTCATTGGCAGCAATGGCAGAAGTAACAGTGTGGGTGGTCAGAGACCCGCCATTTGCACAAAGCGTGGCATGATGAGTCACAGGCCCCCAAGGCGCTATCACATAGATGGGGTTGAGATTCAGGCATTCCCACCTCCTTAACCAACACCCAGGGCTGGGCCCAGACCTCAGAGAAAGGCAGGTGGCAAGTGCTAAATATTATCAGCCACTGCTAATTGCTTTGCAACACTAAAACTAATACAGCTATCAAAATCATAAAATGACATACATTCACATACCATCACAGAATCAACAGAAGTTTAACCAGAAGCTGCCATTTACAAAAGGTAGCCAGGAGCTAACCAGGCAGACAGGTGTCTGCCCTCTGCTGGACACAATGACAGTGACTTGGACACACAGAGGAAAAGGAAGGCTCAGGGATCAGAGAGAAAGCTTGGCTATTTCCAGGATTCCACAAACATAATGGGAAGGACTTTTTCCCCAACATGAGAACCTACAGAATAGTCAATGGATGTAAGAGCATAGCATCTCCAGACATAGTAGTGTTTAATGCTCTCTGGAGAAGGAATCACAATGTCACTTAGAATAACGCACTGTAGCTCGTGCCCCTTTCCTTCAACACCCCCTTCCTTTATTTTTTTATTTTTTGAGACAGAGTCTTATTCTGTAGCTCTGGGTAGAATGCAGTTGCATCATCACAGCTCACTGCGACGTCAAACTTCTGGGCTCAGGCAATCCTCCTGCCTCAGACTCCCATGTAGCTGGGACTACAGGTGCATGCCACCACGCCCGGCTAATTTTTTTCTATTTTTAGCAGAGACGGGGTCTCACTCTTGCTCAGGCTGGTCTTGAACTCCTGAGTTCAAGCAATCCTCCCGCCTCAGCCTCTCAGAGTGCTAGGATTACAGGCGTGAGCCACCGCGCCCAGCCTCTTTCAATCCTTTATAGACTCATTTTGCTTCTGTGGAACATTCTTCCGTTCATTGAGAAATATGAAGCACTTTTTAATAAAACTTATTTAGAGAGCCATTTGGCTAAAGCAGGTTTAAAGTACTACTGGCTCATTCTGTGAGAGGCCCCAGGAGGACCGAGCAGACAGAACAGATCACAACCCCAGGGCACACACAGAGAACAGGGCTGGCCGTGTCTCCACACTCCCCACCTGTCCCGCTCGCTCTCTCTGCCATGCGATAGGACTGCATTCGGGTAAGTTTCCTGTACGTATAATACAGCTCTGCTGTACTTTGAGCCTCCCTCCCTCCCTCACATTATTCTTAATCCATGCTCCAAGAAATTATCTAAGCCTCTCTGTCTTCAATACTTAGAATACTTTAGGATAAGGTTCTCAGGCTTGTGATGCAACCACTACTGTTAGCCCTAAAATCATCCCTTCTGAAAGACTACCATACAGTCCTAGTAGCCAGCATTTTGGGAACTAGTCTCGAATATCTCAAATTTTTGTCTGATTATTCCGCCTCCTTTTCTACATTGAAAAGTTCCAGGTTTTTTTCAGTCTATTTTTGTGCGCAGGCTACTCTATTCTCAGACTAGTTTAAGAACTCTCTATGGCTCGGTTCTGGTTTTTTTTTTTTTTTTTTTTTTTTGAGACAGAGTCTCGCTTTGTTGCCCAGGCTAGAGTGAGTGCCGTGGCGTCAGCCTAGCTCACAGCAACCTCAATCTCCTGGGCTCGAGTGATCCTTCTGCCTCAGCCTCCCGGGTAGCTGGGACTACAGGCATGTGCCACCATGCCCGGCTAATTTTTTATATATATATCAGTTGGCCAATTAATTTCTTTCTATTTATAGTAGAGACGGGGTCTCGCTCTTGCTCAGGCTGGTTTTGAACTCCTGACCTTGAGCAATCCGCCCGCCTCGGCCTCCCAAGAGCTAGGATTACAGGCGTGAGCCACAGCGCCCGGCCATCGGTTCTGGTTTTGAGTGAAGAACGAGATTCACACTAGAAAGTGAACACGCTCAATTCTACATGCCAGGCAGCCCCTTTAAAGCACAGCTATCCTGAACACGAAAGCATGAAGACACTGAACCCAGCTGAGAAACTGGCTTGTCTAAATAGTGCTTTTTAGAAAATGACGTGTACTGCTATCCAGACTATTTTACATAAGCCAAATCTCCAAAACACCCAAACCTACCCTTTTAAGCATTTAATTTCTAAGGTGTCAATATAAGAAAATATCAGTGCAAGCCATCTTAAATGAGTCACAACTGCTTTTCTCAACTGAATTAGGTGTGAAACACACCACACAGACCCTCCAACACTCGCACTGGAGCAGATGACTCTCGAGTCTGTCTCTGGCCTTGGCCGTGGCTGGACTGGACTGGAAGTCTCTGAGCTGTCCCCACATTCCTCTCTGTCTGGTCTACCCTCCTCACTGCAGCCCGAACTGCTTTCCTTGATCAAACTGCATTCCTGCTCTAAGACTCCCACTAGCTCCCCAACAGTTACTGATGAGAGTCTAAACTCCTCAGCCTGGTGATCCAAACCCTAACAGTTCAGTCCCCACATAATCTGCCAGTCCTAGCCCTCCACTCTCCACCTCCTCTCCTTCTATACTCCAGCCACACCCACTTACAAACTGTCCCCAGAGCACCATGGGCCATGGCTGCCTCAGGACCTTTGTTTAGGTTGCTCCTTCTGCCTGGGATGTCCTTCTGCTCCCATACCTGCCAGTCAGAGTCCTCCCAAACCTCCCTCCAATTCTATCCCCTCCAAGAAGCAATGCCGGTTGACTTGCCACTCTCTGTGGGGCAGGTCCCTGCCTCACCCCTCCTGCATGATTTATCACAGTAATGCTCCACACATAGCAGGGCTCCTTAGGAATGTACATCTCCCCTCCTAGACGTTGAGCCCCTGGAGAGCCCCAATCAAGTCCTTGTCTTTGTTTTCCCCATGCCATCCTGCACAGGACCCAAGGAGACAGTAGGTGTGAACTGAGGGGACTGACACCCATGCACTGACACAGGCCAGCCCCTGCCCAGAACAACGCTCCACTTTTGCACACTTACGGTTTCCACAGTTGAGACCACCAAGGCCGAATGGGCAACTGCAAATCAAGAAAGAAAGAAAAAATATCTCAAAAGAAATAACTGAGGCAATTTACCCAAGTAATTCCTAAGTAAGCTTTGTAAGGAATTCATCAGAATAAATGAACATGGAGCCTACCTCATACAGGTTTCATTTTCAAGCCTATATCCATCTTCACACGCTGAAAGAAAGAAAGAAAACCCATGAATGTGTCTATTTACTTCCCATGGCCCAAATTCACAATTCATTAAGTGTCAGCCATCCTAAAAGTCCATAAGAATATTCTAGAACCAGAAGACTACAAATAGCTTTAGAATTATCTATAACCTGACCTACATACTGTTGCCAGCTCAACTCTTCACCTTATCAACAGACTTTTCTTAACCTCTTTGTAGTTCTCAATTTCCCATCTATAAAAAGAGGACAATAATATTACTATCTTCTAGTTTCTTGGAGGGTATTAAGTAAAATAAGACACGCAAAATGGCTGAGCATAAGCCTGGTACATGGCAACCACTAAATAAATGTTTGTAGCTGTGATTACTATCCAACAAATGCAATTCTTTTTGGAAGTTCTCTGTAGATGAAGACTGTCACCTGGGGAACATTGGTCCATACACACACAGACAAATGCTTCACCTTCTTTGACATAAATCAAGGGTTTAACCTGACCTTGGCCCTCTTCTATGAGGAGGTGGGAGCTGTGGGTGACACCCTCTGGGGCACGGTACCCAGGTTTTCGTGGGAGAATGCTCACCCTGTAGTCTGTGTGTGTGTTGGGGGGAATTCTGGACGTATCTAGATATGTGTTAATGGGCACTTTGCCCAAGAACATAACTCTGAGCCCTCTGGCGGTGCTGCTCACAGAACACCACTTCACTGAAGCAGCTGCAGCCCAGCCATTCCCCTGGATCAGCAGCTCCAAAATTTATGTGATCACAGAACATTTTCAACACTGCAATAAGAGGACAGAGGACCATGAGCTATAATGCATGCTTGGATGAAAGCAGATAATGGAAAACGGCCTTGTAGACAAATTCCTTGCTGCAAGGCATGATAATTTGATTCAGGATTAATGTACAATATACATTGCATAGAAGATCACAGATGAGAAAAGGTACAGAGCGTGGAGCCACCATCCCTGAACAGATGGCAGACACACCAGTGGCCAGTCATGAGGGCCAGTAGCGCAGGTAGCTGGCGGGGGGTCGGGGGAGGGGGGGACGGGGTTGGGGGAGGGGCGCATGCCGGGTAGCAGAGTCCCCAGGCCTCTCACAGACTTGCTGGAGTTTCCTATTGCAGACTTGTGCTTGATAACATTCACCATGTAGATGTGTTTAGTACTCTTCCTCCACTTTCTCAATGTTAGAAGCTAAATGTTTCTGGCATTATCTTACTGTCATAGGCCATCTATTAACCTATCACTAGAGCTTTGTGGAACACAGTTTGGAAAACACTGTTCCAAACAATCTGTAATTTATCTCACAGCAGATTTTCATAGAGCTATGAACCTTGGCTGCACCGTTTTGGCTCCACTGAATCACTTTTCCTGAGTTCCACGCTCTGGCATTAAGCGCTATTTGTTATAGAAAGCAGCCACGGGAAAGTCCCCACAGTATTTATTGCAGGATGTCACAGACCACGTTGCCACAATACCACTCAGCAACCTCGTGATGAGGATGCCCAGAGAAATGTCTCTCGGGCCCAGTGCCTGGAAATACAGGCATGTCCCCAAACAACCGTACTTTCTTCTATGGACCCAGATCCCCAATCTTCACAATCACGTTTCTTTCCTTGCCTCTGTTTCCAGGAAGCTCAGAACTTGAATGAGTGGCCTGCCCTTAGCCACACGCAGGACCTTAGGGTGTATCTTTCTGCATATTCACTTTCCTTGGGGCCTCAACAAAACAGCTTATTTGTCCTTCGACTCAATTTACCTTTTAAATATTTTAAAATCTTATTTTATTATGTGAATTTTTACTAAGTGCTTCAAATCCTTTATGCAACAAGGTGGAGTATAACTGTATCCCATTTGGGGAAGGAGCAACGAGGCCCCATCTCCCAATCTTTGACACCTCTGAGTTCTCTGCTGGCCTCACTCAGGTAGGGCCTTCTTTAAGGAAGCAGCTGAGCGCTCCTGCCTTTCCTTGGCAGGCAAGGAAAGCACCATGTCCCACAACCCTTCTCCCTCTGTGTGGCTCTGCCTCAGCATGAGGGTCATAGGAGTCTGAGAAGCCATCCCTAGATGGTCCATGGGTGGCTCAGGCTGCAGGGCAGCTACCCGGGGACTGGGTGATTCTCCAGTGACTCATCTCCACCCATCCCAGCACCAAGGCAGGCTGATGTCACACCAATCTGTTCTATTCTGAACACTCCTTCCTGGAAATGTTTTTACATCAAATCTACCCACCCAACATCAGTTCTCATCTGCTGGTGGGAGAGTTTTCCTCCTTGGCTGTCGTCCAGCTAGACACAAGGTCCATCTGTTGTCCTGCCTGCGAGCTGATGGGTTGGGCTGTTTTCATTTAGCTTCAGAAGTGGCTTGACTCCCTGATGTGATGTAATGATATTTCTCTGTGGTTAATGGGCTCATTCAGTCATTCATCTATGATGGCGTGCTACCGAGTGCCTGGCGCTGTTCTAGGGCAACCTTGTCAGTGAGCAGCTCCTGCGCTCCTTCGGATCTGACACTCGCCTCTCACCCTAGAGGGCCTCTGCCCACACAGCACTGAGGACGAAATGAATGTGACAACAGCTAGTATATATGCCCAAACTGTGCCTCCCTGCTGCTATGGGACACAAGCAAATTCAAGTCTTCTGAACTTAAAAAAAAAAAAGTAAATGGTAGCATAGTAAAAGCTCTTTGTTCCATTGCAGGAAACCAAGTCAAAACATGCCATTCTCTCCCTCCATTACTTGCTGCTATATAATCCATTTATCCATTCAATAGACATCTGTTGAACCCCACATGTGCTAAGCACTATTCTGGACAGTTCTGCCTGCTCTCAAAGCACCAGCAGTCTGGAAAGAAAGAGACATGCAAACAGATTGTTAGAATTCATCCCGTGACTGCCTGATGGAAGGAAGCTACGAGGCCTGTGGGAAGGACACCTACTTTAATTTTATATGCAGTTTTGAAAGTCTGGTAAAGACACTGGAAAGACATTTTATGTGAGGAACCAAACATGCAAGCACATGTGTGTGTGTATAACACAACAGAGAACAACATCAAGACTTTCTAATGCATAGCTTGAATTGCAGTGATTTATAAAAAACATACACACACCTCTATCCTTTATTTATACAGAGGATTGAGCCCTGGTTTGAGGTGTCCTAAGGGGCTATCATTTTAAATATCCCTGTGCTCCAACACCGACGGCCAGAAGATGTCACTGCTAAATCAGGACCGAGCCAACGGGGCTGAAGCCCAAGAAGCTCCAGAAGCCATTCATCAGAGGCCCGATGGCCGCAAATACTGCTGAGAATGGGCTTCCCAGGGCCTCGGCAACAAGCCCAAAAACTAATCAAGGTTTCCTTATGCTGCTTCTTGGGTCACTATTTTATAAACATAAAGCTGCTAGTGTCTGTGTCATTGCATTTGGTAAATCTTCGACAGCTCTGCTATTGCTATGTATAAGCCTGTAAGTGACAGGCTTATGAAATTGCTGACTTGGAAATAGAAGGAAGTGGCTCAGGCCAGGCAGAAGCAAAGGTAGCAGGATGATTCTTGAGGCACCATTCACAAGGACCACCGCACCACCGTGCTATGCTCCGGCCCACCTTGAGAGCCCTCCCGCCAGCTGCACAGCACCCCAACACGCGTGGATTTTAGCCCAGTCACCCTCCTACATGAAGCTGAGTTCTACCCCCCTTCCTAAGAGGAGTGAGGAATACTTGGCATTAAACCAGATAAGCTAGGATTAGGAAGCATCCTCTCTTTGTAGCAAAGCAGTGGTCTGGCACGGCGCTGAGAAACGCTGTGTACCAGTCGCGGGTCAGCACTGGTGCCCAGGACAACATTGGCCTCCTCTTCAAAACCCATCCGAGGTCCCGCCTGGAGAGCAGACAACGTGCGCTTGAAAAGAACTTCGTGTCTAAAACCTAACAAAGCCAGAGGGTCTGAAGCTCAGGGTAACAGTGCTGCCCTGAAATGTGCTTTCATCGTCTGATGGAATGAGTCCTCTAATAGGAAGTCCTGACAGAAATAAGTGGCATGTCACTCCAGTATATGATTTTTACTCAGATTCCAGTAACATCCAGCGACATCTGTCACCAGCAAGGTTTTGACTGAGCAGGAAACCTGTGCCATCCACATTCTAATGGGGGCGATACTTAAAGCTACACAGCCTTTCTATCTCCAGTTGTTCTGGTGATCACAAACTGCCGTGGTCTTCTGTAAGCCAGGGCACACCATGCTCTGCACCTGAGTCGATCTGACTTTAAAGCAGTATGCTTGGACTGCACTCATCGAGCAGTTGTTATTTCAAACAGAATGACTTTAAACCTCACCTAAAAGACTGCAGAATTAGATTCCTGCTCTCAAACACTTCATGAAAACTTTAAAACTACAACTCATTAATTGAACAGCAGCCTGGGTAAACTACAAGCACAAACGTGGACAGCTTACAAAGTACCTCTATATACACTGCCTTCTTTAACCTCAGCATATCCAGTGAGGTATCATTATACCCATTTCACAGACTGGGACACTGGGGCTCAGAGAAATGAAGTGACTTGCTGAGACGACACAGGACCAGTACAGCAGAGCAGGCTCTGACTTGGGTCTTCCGAGCCTTGGTCAAACTCACTGTCTACTGAGTCACAGATGCCTCTAAGAGATGCGGGCCTGACTCCACGCTGGTATTTCCACTTTAAAAGATGAGCAGATAAGAGATAAAACTTTGGGAATTAAAACAATAATTTTCCTAACTTCCTCTAAGTGAAAACGGAGAAGGCATTGCTGCCAAGGCATTCCATCCTCTTTTCTCTTCCTTTGGACTTGACTGGCCAGCCCTGCAGTGCCCCAGTCAGAGATAATGCGGTTATTCCAAGGAGATAATGTATTCAATCCTGCCAGGGGCAAGGTAAGAAGAACCAGTCACCCCGCTTTAGGGGAGTCACAGCTAGAGCAGAGAGAAAGAGAGTGCTGGGCAGAGTCCCCGGACGGGGGACAGAACCCGTGGCTACCTCGGCAGGAGTGGTCCATCTTGTTGAACTGGAAGTAGCCCGACTTGCACTGGCACAGGGCCACGCCGTCCAGGTCGGTGCAGATGGAGGTCTCTCTGTCACACTCAGGGCTCTTCCGCTTGCACAAGCTGCCCGCTGGAGTGGAAAGACAAGGCAGTGAAATAAAGCAAAACCTCCTCCACTTCAAACCTAAGACACATGAACTTTCTATTTCAAGAGGCTCCGAGAACGGTTTTCCAAAAAGTCCTCTCGGAGGCCCATTCTGCACCGTATTCCGCCACTCTTTCCCCGGTCGGCACCGGACCTGCTAGTGAGAAAACCGTGCACAGTGTTCCCCATTGAAAACACCCTTGCAACACACTGTGGGCCAAGAACCAAAGTGGGAACAAACAGGGCACCGTCCCCTGCTCTGGCACTTGCTGCAAACACAGCCCTTGATGGTGTGGTGTCTTCTGTACCTTTGCACAAAAGGACTGCAGGGGGAAGATCAGCATAGACTCAGAAAATATGATGATGCTCTTAGGAGGCTGAGAGATGGAGCAAGAACCACCAGAGCTGACCAGACCTGTCTCAAATGACAGTGTCTCAGCTCTGTGCATCCGGGTCCCGAAAGGGACCAGGCACCGCTCTTTGTGGCCAGCAGCTTGCGTATGACGAGGAGGTATATGAAAGACAATCCGCTTGCCCAGCCCTGTAGGGTAATTATCTGGCTGTCCCCATCACTACATCGATGGTTTCCTGAGACTTCTTTATCTCTATGCCTTCAGCGCTTTGCATAGAGACCGGCTAGTACATGTGTCAGCCCTCTAGTCACCGGGCAACTACCAAGAGAAACAGAGGTGGGCAGAGAAGGAGCCTGTCTTTCAGCCTTGCTACCTTGTTCACTTTAGGGTTTATTCATTTCATGGGTGAAAAAGAATCATTTCATTGTTATCAAAACGCATCATTGTTGGGCACGTGGCTCTTTATGAAGATGTATACAGCAGACACAATGAGGGTGCATATATTACCATCTAAGATGGGCCCTACATGTAAATGGAGTACACAGACAATAGAACAAAAGTGTGAAGCCAACTGGACAGTGACCAGTAACTGCTTCACAGCCATGGCCAGAGCAAGGCAAGACAGGTACCTGCTGCTGCTGGGAGGACAGGGCAGGTTCAGAACGGGGAGGAGGCTGCACTGGGAAGGGCCATGTGTATGCCATGCGGGGAGGAATGACTGCTGGTTTTCCAGGCACGGTCTCCCCCTCTCACCTTAAGGAAGATACCAACCTATTCGGAAACCAGGAGCCAGCTCTTAACACTGCAAAACTGCCCCTGCCCAGGCAGGTTCTAGTGATGCGAGCTGACACCCCACACAGGGCTCCTGACGTGCACCCCCTTTTGTACATTCTGAGCCAGCAGAGAGCCTGGTTGCAGGAGGTAAGCTTAGGACACGGCTTCAGTTCTCAATGCCGAATTTCCTGCCTTTATCAGTGGAAGCTGGCATGCAAAATCAGGACTCCATTTGTGTGTGTGACAGAATTTCCTTTGTTTATTGTAAAAAGTTTGTATTTAGGGGAGAAAAATTAAAACTGGAAAATCTCACCAGGCAAACACTGCAAAACGGGCACCAGGGAGGTGGTGAACTTCCACAATCCCTCATCTACACGCTTTGAAGGCTCTGCCAGTCCTCAAGCCTTAATAGAAAGAAATGCCTCCAGGACAAAAACCTGTCCAGGCTGACACTAGCCTTGTCCGGTGGCCAGCCTGAGTTGCCTGGTTTGATTAGATATTTTCTGGAAGCCAATCTCACGTTTTCCTTCCATCACTCTTCTGAAGCAAGCCTTTCCTGCACAGAAGCAGATCCACGCGAAAGCATCGAAAGCTGGCCCTGCCTCTGCCGTGGAAGGGCTGCTACCCTAAACATTCTCAAAGAACATTTTATCATCAGTCCACCAAACAGAAGCACAAATAATCCCATTTTCACATTAAGCCTGGCGATGTGATTTTTCTATACTCACAGTTCCCATGGTCTTTCCTGGGCATAACATCCGCCAAAGCAGACAATGAGAATCTAAGTAAATCTAAAGCTGAGACATTCTGGGGGGATTTCCAAAGGCTCTAAACCTCTGCAGATGACAAGAGCTGCAGTTCTCTGAAAGGCCAGGAAGTGGACATTTTGGGAATGAAAGGGAGACACCTCTCCTTTCCCTTGGCCTTGTCTAGAACAGCCCAGTGCTGCCCACACATTGAAAACTGTCAAGCCCAGCTCCCTGGCACTCAGAAAGGTTAGTGATAGACCACACTGGGTTTATTGGCAAAATCTCAAGAATTGGGAGGAAAAAGTGGGAAGTTAGCCTGTTTCCAGCCAGTATGCACAGCTGTCTTTGTTCTCAAGGGCTCTTAAAGGAGAAGTAAGAATGGGGACCTCCAGAGCAAGCAAGGATGACAGGAGCATTCCCAGAAGCCACATCCAAGCGGTCCAGAGAATGGAGGTCTGAGGGTGGGCAGGGCTGCTGTGAGCAGCCACTGTCAAATCCAAATATCTGGCCACTTGATTTGCAAGGCATGAATGTATTTACCAGAGACAAAAATGTAATCTGATACAATGCTGATCACATAGAAGGTACTCCATAACTATATAGTGAATTGAAAGGTACTCTTCCTACATCACTGGGGAGGAAAAATTGGTACCCTTGAATCCCTGGCAAGAGTAACAGAAAAGGAAAGAGCCTCAAAGTTTTGAGCATGATATAATGGGACATGAACTTGCTAATTAACTCACCCATCAATAGCAACTTCAACTCCAGAAAGTTTTACTCTTTTTTCCCAAATTAATAAGTAGCCCTTAAATGGACCAACCTCTGGTATTTATTCCAGAGTAAAAGGATAACTACCCGGCTCCCAAGCTCTGCAACATACAGGCCCACTCAAGAAGGCTCTCTAGACCAGCACTTCCAAAACCCCGACCCACTGGGAATGTTGTAGATTTACCAGCAGATATAGTGCCAGAACCTAACGCCTTCAACTTATAGCCAGCATCTGGATGCCAGATGGGGAGGTTCCAACTAGATCCTACAACCTTTGCCAGCCCGAGTTGTGTAGTAAAATGAGCCAACTTTGATCACGTATGATGCAGCAACTGGGACAAGCTCCCTTTGCAAAAAGCACTTCAGATTCCAGCACAGTCTTCCAATCCCACAGGAGCAACTTCCCCTCTAAGACCTGAATCTGCCTTCTGAACTTGCCTCTAATTCTCTTTCATTTGCCTCCCACTAGATGCATTGCAGAAGCTTTGGCAAAACAGACAAAGCAAGAATAAGAAAGGGAAAATCAACACTAACCACTGGGAGCACTCTGGCCCACCTTCCTCTAGTCCTGTTTCTGTGCATTTGTAATTTACAAACAAACAAACTAAAAACACTGTAGTGTGTGTAATACTGCACATGCTTTCTTACTCAATAGTACATCATGATCAAGGTTTTGGGGTCACTGACAAGTATGTACATTCTGTGGGTGCATTTCTCTCTCCCCAAAGACAGCAGGAAATTCTCAAGGGAAAGAAGAGGGATTTCTGCTTTGTTACATCAGCTCCCACAGACCTCCTCCTCCCACACCAACACTGGATAGAAGAAACAGAAGGAGCCACATGCCGAGGACCAGGGGCCTCAGGGCTGTGTGTGCACAGGACTCTGTGTGCCCGCACACATGCCCAAAGGAGCACACACATGAAGGCCTTCTGCCTAACACCTGTCTCAAAGGTAGGCTCTGTGATGAGCTTTCCTGGGCCCAAACGCTGGATGTCTAGGTTTGTGCCTAACTGCATGGGCAGGCGTCCTCCCAGAAGTCCTTTCTCTTACCTCTGAAGATCCGTCTCTGAGATCCCAGGAGCTGGCAGATCTCAGCGGAGGACCTGCAGGAGTTGACACATTTCTGTATCCCATCAGCCAGGTCAAACAGTGTCACATTGGAGGCCATGGAAAAGGTTGTTTGCAGTGAGATCGCCACCACGTTGGACTCCCTATGGGCAAAGTGCGTGGGTTTTTTAATGGTCCTAAAATGACATGTGGGTCCCAGGGCTTTTAGAAAATGAGTGTCACTGCCATTCTCCAGTGAGGGGATGGGACAGCAAGAATGTCCCGTGACCTTGGCCCTGGGTCACCCAGTGGCTTGGTCAAAACAGGGCCTAGTTTTGTTGCTATCACCCATGTTAGAAAAGCCGCCCTTTCCATACAGTGACTCACAAGCAAATGTAATTGTTACTTACCTAGAAGCATGAACTGTGGATCGGATATAACCAGGTAACGTGGAAAAACACACATTTAACTGAAAGGAAGAACAAGTCTGTTGTTAACTGTGAGTTAGACAAAAGCCTTGGACCTAGAACCAATTTCCTATTTTCAGGATTAAACAGGCATTTTGCAGCCATCAGGTTATCAGCAGGCGCTTCACACAGAAGTGGTGTCCTTTTATTTGTTCTCTTAAATGCCTTTCTGTTGTTCATGAGTACAAAGGGAAAGAGTTAGAGAGTAAATCAGTGCGGGAAATCTTAGCAGGAAATGATGTTCAGAACAGCACCCTTGGATGCTAAACATCTTCAAAGCAGCAGATCTCGTCTAAGGCCCAGGGTTTCAAAAAACTCAGAGGCAACTGTTTATTTGGACTTTGCATAGTGAACAAGCTTCCTTGAAATGGCTCAGTTCCTTTCAGCTGCCCCAGGTTTAATAGGCCCTACACAGACCCCTCGCAACCTTCCACAAGTTGACCTAACTCAAATACAGGTCTTCTTCAAAAAGCTCCTCTGTGGAAAATCACATTACGTGGTCAAGAGCCCTTTTGCTGAGGGCTCTCCCTGCGTTCGCCTTGGGCCCTGGGAGAATGCAGAAAAGCCCTCCACATCACAAAGCATCCTGCCTGCCTCCTTGCTCCCCTCCGTAATGGGGGCTCCAGGTTCCTCTATGGAGCAGAGGGTCTCAATGCCTTGTCCAATGCAGGCCCATCTGTCTCCAAAGCCTGCTGTGTCTCAGAGACATCCCACTCTCCAGGAGATGGAGACAAACGTGAGACATCATCAAACCCTTTTTGGCTTTGTATGGAATTATTTTATGGTCTAATAGCAAGGATTTATTATTGTTGTTCTATTATGAACTTGCTTTTCCAATTATTGGTAAAGAGTAACGTCTTGGGAAAGACCATTTCAGTGGCTTCCCCAGTCCCTGTTTAAATCTTCCCTATTTCTTGGAGGCTAGTGCATCACATCACCAATAAATTATACGTTGATGCTGGGCCAAAAATAACAAGTCAGGTAAGTCACTAAGCACTGTGCAATGGGAAGGGCTGCACCTCTGTACCACGACCTGAGAAGGAAATATCTACCTACCACAGGACCGAGAGGCAGCCGTGGTGGGGTGACAAGGTGAAGGATTAATAGACATAAACCCTGCTGGGTAATAGATAATTTAAGCTTGCCCAAAGAGAGGTCAGGCCTTTGCCTTTGGCTCCTGAGAGGTAATCTCTAAGCCCTTGGAATGTCCTGCCTAATAAAAATGATGTGATTTATGGTGGGGGCCTTTGGTAACATACTATCAGCTCAACCCCTAGAGGGGACAGAGAAAGGTCAGCCATATGGGCAGTCAACCATGTCTACATGACAGAGCCCCAGTAAAGGTTCTAGATGCCAAGGCTCAGGTGAGCTTCCATGGTTGGCAACATATTGTCACACACTGTGGCCGAGAGGAGTTAGCACGGTCCATGACTCCATGGGGAGACAACTGGAAGCTCTGCATTTGGAACCTTCCTGGACTCTGCCCTGTGCACCTCTTTCCTTGGCTGATTTTAACCTGCAGACTTTCACTGTAATAAGCCGTAGCCATAAGCATAACAGCTTTCCATACCTTCTGTGACTCCTTCTAGTGCCTTACTGAAACTGAGCGTGGTCTTGGGGATCCCCGAACTTGCAATTGATGTCAGTAGTGAGGGTGGTCTAACGAGCTGTTCTCCAGCTTTGCACCTGCTCTGTGTGAACTCAGGCAGTGCCACTAACTTCCAGATCCGCCCAGTTTTCTATGTGCACAGGCGTTGGCAATACCTCCTACGGGAGTGCACCAATCAGCACAGCTCCCGTCACAGGGTGGACGCTCAGCAGATACAGAAATAGAATTGGAATCTGTATTTTACACAAATGAAATCCATAGCCCTACAGAAATGTATAACTCTTGCATGATATACTAACTCTTACCCATAAAGAACAAGTAAAATTGAAATCAGAAATCAATTAATCTCTAAAACTTATTTTAACGGCAAATTTCAATTTTCTGAATACCAAATCTCTGACTCCAGTAGCAGTCGAGAAGCAAAATTTATTATCTGCGCTTCCATTTTCATCTCTTCTTTCTTCCTCTCCATTTTTCTTTTTGTTTTTTTATTTTTCTAATAAAAAGCAAGTAAAGAGGGTAAGAAGCAGAATCAGGCCCCTCGATAAACTATGCGGTGGAGTCTGAAGCCCTAGATAATCAGGATTAACTGCTACACATTAGACATTCCCTTGAGGAAGAGTATCATTCTCCCCAAGCTCTGAAACAGAGGGAGAGAGTCACACATTGTGCCAACAACAGAGGGGGCGGAAGGATTTTCCAGGTCCTTCCTCTTCACCAACAGCTCTTACCGGTGCATGTCATCTATGTGTCTGTTTTGCACATGGAAAAGAAACACCAAGACACAGATAAAGACTGCACCTGAGGGCACATTTGAAGAAACACTTCTACTGGGTATCACTAGTTCTCAATACCTCTCTTCTATTTCTGAAAGGCTTTTTATTTTACCGTGAAGTTTCCCTTCCAACATAATAGAAGTGAAGAGTTCAGGAGATATAGCTGACCCCTAGGTGGTCCCCAACTTGGGATGAAATCTGTTCTAGAAAACAAAGGACTAGCATGAAGATGCCTTTCAGGAAACCTACCGTTTTGGTGATTTCTTTTTCAACTTCATGTAGATCTGAATGTTTTTCCACGGTAGTATTAAGAAAAGCTCTCTTTAATTTAAACTCTGTCACGAAGGTTCTAACTGAAAATGAAAATGTAGCCCGTTAGACCACACAACAGATGAGGCTGTGTGTTTGCAAATCTCTGGAGTATCCAGCTTTACTCCCCCTCACAGGACAATCTCTGTGCATTTCCTTCTCCTTGAGGAAGGAGTCTGTCTTTCCCTCTTGTAGGTTCCTCTCTAGCAAAGTGGTCATCTACTGGGCTGAGCTGAAAGCTCAGACTGAGCAGATCTTTGGAGGGGAGACTCCAAGAGTCTTCTGTGTATGTGCAAGGGCTGCCGAGAGAAGGAGCCTTCTTGACATCTCTGGAGTGTCCAGCAAAGCTGTGACAAAGGACAAAGAAAGCTGGTTTAAACAATATAATCCTAGGAGTGGGCAAGGGAGGTGTAGTGCCAGACACTAAAAATGCTCACCAGACCTCTGTCTAAGGCTTCAGACAGAGGAAAGCTCTTGCTCTCCGTAGTCTTTAAGCAAGTTATACCCTCAATTTCAGGGGGTGCTTTGGTTTCCTAGAGCCATCCCCATCCAAACCCCATTCCTCTTGCTCAGCGTAAATGTCCTAATTCACCGATAAAAGAGTCTCCCAGCAGTTGTCTGCATCCTAAGAAAGATCACCCAGGCTCTCAAGGGCCAAAATTTAGCATTCAGGCTCACGTGTGTCTGTCTTCAAAGCTCTTTTTGCCTCTATACTGTCTGTGCCCCAGGAAGTCTGATATTCTGAGGACTACCAGGGGGCTGTGGAGCAAGGTTCCAAACATTCGTCATGGGCCCATACTCCCGGGGCTGCCAGACTCCACAGATTATAAGCCATGTAATGAAAACAACCCATATTCAAGCCGCTGTTAGGTTCAGAAATGAAAGAAAGCAGCCCCATTGGCAAGGCCCATTTCACTCATAAAATAAAATCCTAGTTAACACCAATTTGTGCTGATTGGGCCCCAGGGGAATGGGACTTACAATGCAAAGGCAACCAAAAATTAGTGCAGCATGCTTTATATCTGCTCTTATCTTCCTTTATATTAAATTCTTATCTTTCCCTCTGGACAGAAAAAAAAAAAACCCTACTCAAAACACAGAAGTCCATGAAGCTGCTCTTTCATGGAAAGCTTGCATGCTGAATTAAGAAAAAGGCCCACAAATGAGCCAGGGAAAACATTTAACATCTTATACTTACTGTCTAAAGCCCTTAATCCTTATTTAACATCTTTTTGCTTGTTCTACAGTTCAGTGAAGCCAGCTGCTTAGGACTCTTTCTGAGCAGCAGGGAGTTCTTTGAAAACATTCTTGGCCAAATGAAAGCATTTCAGCATGCTCTAATTTGCATGTTCCTCTGATGTTTATGAACAATGAAGCTAAATGACTTGAAAAGGGAGCGATGATTGTTAAAGATAGAGCTGCTCTCCTCCTGATCCCTGCTACCTGTGGGACACTGCATACAGGCTTCCAGAACACTCGCCCTTCTTCATTTTCACATCGCATGTATCTAGGTTTACACTCAGCCTCTCTGTATAGAAACACACCTTGTAAATGTCAGGTGCCCAGATCTCTTCTGAATCAGGTCAGCAAATGTGGCCTCTGCTTTCAGCGTGAATATGAGAATGCATCAGTCTCCTCCCCAAACCCTGCACTCTCTCTAGGCAGGGTATATTTGAAGACATTTACACCTTCATGCCTGCAGTTACATCATTTGGCTTTAAGTCAAATTTTTACTTCAAATGTACCTATTGATTTCCCTATGCTACCTAAACGATTTTCGGGAGGGGAAGATCCATAATTATAACTTTGCATTCAGAGTAGTTTATTGCTTTCATTGCTTTCAATTCTGGCCCAAAAGTTTGAAGACTAATGTTAAATGATACCTCCCATCTGGACAGTTCTTTACCACTTTCAGAGCTTGCTCAAATACACTGCTTTATTTGAGCCTCACAATATCCCTGTGGGATGCAGAACAGCTGGTAATCGGATTTTACAGCTGAGGAAACTGAGGCTCAGGAGCCATGTGCTGTGGTGGTGGCCCTGGAGCTGGAGGCAAGTCATTGGAGTCCTGGGCAAATGTACTTTCCACAATGCTTCAAAACAGAATCATTTCCATCTTCTCTGTTCTTAAACTGAAAACTCCTGGCTTATTTCTTATAGAGTTTGGCTAAATGGAGTAGGTTACCCAAATGCAAATATATTATTAGAGTAAGAGGAATTCTTGATTTTGAGTGATGTCTATGTTTCTAGATTCTCCTTTTTAAAATGATGTTTTAACTTGATCCTTGCATTTTAAACAATTTTCAAAATTCTACCATTATTTTAGGAGGGTACCAACCTTCTGAAAAAGTCACTTCAGTCTACAGGTAAATAGCACTTTCAAAAGACACAGATAATTGCTCTCTCAAAAATACTTACCAAACACTTTTTGTGTGGTAAGTATCGCTGGGCAATTTAAGATCATTCAAAGGTGAGTCATTTTACCTGCCAGTCTCCTTATTCAGCTTAGAAACTCTATTTTTCAGTTTTAATTTCTTCAACAAGTTAGATACTAAACTTGGCATTCCAACAAGGGTCATACCCTGCATGCAGGAAAGCTATTATGATTAACACATTATTGTGGAACAGGGAGAGCTGTGGGTTGGATACCAGGCCTCTCATCAACCAATTACATAAGCTTGGCCACTAAGCACCTTGTCGGGGCCTTGGTTTTCATTTCCTTCGTTTGTTTTTAACCTGTAAAATGGAGATTATATTTAAAATCAACCAGCTTTATGAATCTGTCAAATTAGGGAACAAAATATGACAAATTGTGTGGTATAATCATGCCAGCAGCTTTGTTAAAATTATCTGTCTGTGGACAAGAACATGAATATCATTTTCAAAAATTAAAAGAATGTGTGGATGTGGTAGGACAATCAGGATTTTGTTCTTTCTTTTCTCCCCCTGAACTGTTTTTCTTTACTATGTAATCAGAATATCCTTTTGATATATTTGTTTTCTAAGTGCAGGGTGGAATAGTTAGGCAAATAATGTTATGCACAAATGATGGCATATTACACAGTCATTAAAATGTTTGGATAATATTTTTAATAACACAGGAAAATGTTTAAGATATAAAGTTTCTACAAATATCATATGATTTCAACTATGTAAAAATATGGTGCACATCAAAAAATTGTAAAGTAAGGTGCTGTATCTCTGAATATTGGAATAACAGGCAATGTCTTCCATTTCCTTCTATATTCCTTAAGTTTATACCTTGGACAAATACTGATTTCGAGTAGGGAGAAAAACGGTAAATGTTACTTTGTAAAATATAGTGTGGTACAGAAAAATTCCAAGACAGACTAACTCTCTTACCCAAATTGCATATTCCTTTTTCCAACTGGTACCCAACTGGGCATCTGCAGATAAAGGATCCCTGAGTATTGTTGCACATGGCCAGGGGCGGGCAGGGGTTCGAGAGGCATTCGTTCACATCTGCAAAGGACAGAGAGCAAGACCACACTGAATCTGCAGCAGGCAGCAACACCATAATCTCGTGCAGTAAGTATTCACTAAGGACCAAATGGCTCTAGGTGAAGTGGGGCCTCAAGGATGAGTAGGAGACCACCCTGCCCTCAAGGGGCTGACCATCTACTGAGGGTGGAGGCAGCCATACAAACAACTACCTATAAATAGAAGGCAGGATTTCGATGCAAAGAGAAAATAGATTTTGATGAAGGGGAGAATTAAGGACTGTTTGAAATAACATCTGGACTATGACTAGGAGGACTTTGATAAACAGATTTGGGTGGGTGGGAGATTCTAGGCTGAGGCGCTCACACATTAAAGGCCGGGGGTAGGAAATGCAGGGGTCCTTAGGGAGCTGTGGGTGGTCCAGTGTGGCAGGAGTATAAAGAGCCGGAGGAATGGGGCCAGATTAGGAAGTCTGTGAGTGCCACACAGCAGTACCTGTCGCTATCCTGCAGACAATACACATGCATGCTAATTCTCAAGGACACGGGAAATTAACTAAAAAATCTTATTCTTCTACATTGTGGAGGAAAAAGGAGTTTATTGGATAACCCAATGTGTAGACCACAGGACACGACTCTTTCTCTTACCCACACTGCAGTCGTCCCCTTGCCAGGAAGGCGAGCACACACATCGGTAGCCACGACTGGCAGGGTCCACGATGCATTGGCCGTTATGAAGACAAGGGTTGGTGGCACAGCTGCTGACTAAAACACATTCCAGGAACGAAGCAGTTAACCACACAGGAGCTATAAAGGCAGCTCTCAGCAAATATTTAATTCCCCCATCTAATATTTGATGATTGTTTATTTCTGTTAACTTGCCCTGCAAGGCCACACTACTAAAATAGGAAGGGTTCCTGAGAGGTGCAGAGGACGAGTGCAGTGGGACGGGGCACTGGTACTACTTTGTGTCCATATGTAAGTGGCAGACAACTGCGTCCCTGAAGGCAAGAACTGACTCAAATCAAGTGCTGCTTACAGGTTGCTCAGTTCGGGACTGATGATTACACTGCCTTTGTGATACGTAGAAAATTCTACTTGAATTAAAAACACACATTAAGGAGCAATAGAATCTCTGATCAACTCACCCTTCCTGCTACAAGGTTTACGTGTGTGTGTGTGTGTACATGCACATTTTGTCTTTCCTCTTGGACTTTTTTTTATCAAAACCATTGCATCCTTTATCCAAAACTTTTCCAAATTTAAATGGGCCTCCACATGCTGTCCATCCTTTAGAAAATGATCAGAGTTGAACACTACAATGCCCTCTCTTTATATAACATAAAAATGGGCCCTACCTGAATTCATCTATGCCCTCATGACAAACACACTTCAGTGTCATCTTGGATTCCCAGCTCCCAAGGGCAGTGACCACAACTCTGTAGTGCTCTATATAAGTGGCAGCTTCACACTCCAGTTATGTAATAATTGCTTCATAAAGGTGAAAAGCTACAACATAACTGCATTATGTGCAAGGAGTAAATCAATGGTAGCACAAGAAAAAGAAGGTGGAAATCAAGAGTCCTCACTCAAAAAAAAAAAAAAAAACTCTGAAAACAAACAACCTAAACCTAAAGGCGGTATTCCTGTTCTTCACTGCTACTTTAAATATTACCTAAAATCACCTATGTAAGCACAGCACCTATATAATCAAATACTGTACCCATGGAACAAAAATATGTAACAGCCGGTGGATCTGCTCCTAATACTCGCTATAGTTATCACTGGAATGGTGATCAGGCTTTACAGAAGACTTGTGACTTCTTTTTTTTTTTTTTTTTTTTTTTTTTTTTAGATAGAAGCTCGAGTGTGAAACTTGTGACTTCTGTTTCATCTAGTATTGGAACATACTTGCCCTCTTAAGATGAAGGCTGTGAGCTTTGAAGCAAGGCCCCCAAGCATCCCTGAAGAGGGGTGCACCTTCCCCTTCCCAGAGGTGCTCAGATCAGTATCACAAAGGGGCACTGTGGGGCTGGCAGTGAGTGGTAGAGCCCAGGTGACTGAGGCTGACTAGCGGGAACTGTGCCATCCCCTGAGCTCTCTGCTCTAGGCACTACAGAGCACCTTTCTTCTTTCCTTCTTCCTTAAGATGCCAGTCTCCATGTCACCCCTTCTCCAATAGCAGTTTTGCTTTCCTGGGTCTGGACAAGCCCAAAGTGCAATTTGAACATGACATCAAGAGATATACCATCCTACTTCCTTCTGCCATTCCTTCAGTGACAAAGGATCATTCGATGGCTTTCTTTCCTTGCGCCAGCAGCTTCAACATGGCTATAAAGATAACCCCTCAGTGCAATGTGAAGGCGCCCCAGTCATGCAGACGTGGGGGGAAAGGTGAGCTCATGTCTTCCTATTTCCTGGTCCTCCACCCCCATTCATCAACTAGCACCATACTCTCTGGGAGATAAGGAGCTTGGGCTTCCCTGGATCTGGAGAAGCCTTCTGACCCCAAGAAGGCCTTGGTGACTGCAGTGCCAGCTGACTGACTCAGGAGCGCTGGGCTCTGATCGGGAGCAGGCACCCAAATCCGTCCCTTGTCTCAGACAGGCCACCAGCTTCCTTACTTTGCCACCTCCACCCCCCATCCTGCATCACTGCTCTAGCCTCAGAGGGGTTCCAGGCCTGCTTGGAAAAGCTCTTGCAACCCCAGGGCATTCAAAGCTACCCTGCACTATGAACTGACGTCACACACTGCCAAAGCATCCTTTCCTCTTTCTTCAGGAAGAATTATGTAACTGCAGGGCGAAAAAATTAGGTCCACTGTGACCTTCTTGTATGCTTTAAGTGTTTCAAGAGGAAGCATTTTAGGTCACAAAACACACTCTTTCAAGCACACACTCACAGGAACCCTGAGCCCCATGCAGCTCTCGTCCTGGGTGAGACCCAGCAGCCAACATGTGCTTGTGAGACTGCCGTTTTACCTGAGGCCAAAGACGACAATGCTGTGGGGGACCAGGTGCTGCTCTGAACAGCAAAGGTGGCAGATTTAGGAGGCAACACTTCAGCCGTGGAAACATCTGTGGTTTGGGGAGAAGGAGACGTTCTGAGGAAATGTGAAGCCGGGCTATGCTCTTCTATAACGCCAAGCCTTGTGGTCGGTTCTTCTGCTGACGTGAGTACACTGGCCAGAGGGATCGATCCGGTGGTAGTGTCTACATGCACTTGGTTCCTCTTTGTGCTGACAGCGCTGTCTGTGGAGATTTGTGGCCCTAGGATTTCAGGATAGGTCGGCAAGAACTGCTCTCCAGCTGTAGTCTGCACAGCTACAGGGCCAGTGATCAGAGATGCTGTGCTTGATGGGGTGCCAGGAGTGGTCACGGGAGGTTGAGAGATCTCGAGAGCAGTGGCTGTCAAAGCTGGAGACACGGGGGCTAAGGTTGGGCTCGTGGCTGGAAGGGTTTGCTCTGTGGAGGACTCTGTTAAGGCTGGAGGTAAAGGGACCTCCGAAGGAGACCTCACTGTCACAGCTTTGGTGGGCTCGGTGGTCAGAGACACCACGCTCAGTGACTTTGACTCCGTAACAGTTTTCTCTTGGTGTGAGGCGCTCTGGTTCTTAGCGCCTGCTGTCTGGCTACTGTGGAGTGTTGCCACAGAGGCTGCCGCTGTCGACATCTGAACTGAAGTCAAAGGAGTCCCCCTTGCCCTGGGCAGGACTGAGGAAGAAGATGAATGCGTCAAGGTTGTTTGTGAGACAGAAAGTGGGGCAGGGGTAGACACTGCCAAGGATGTTAGCAAAGGTGAGGGTGAGGAAGACCAAGGTGGAGATGCGTCAGAAGTAGACTTCAGCAGGTACACAGAGGCCCTGGTTGATGGTAAGGCTGATGAGAACAACTGGTGGGACTGTGACACTGAGGGCAGAGGCAAAGGAGACCCTGAAGAAGAAGAAGAGTCACCAACCGACGGAGCATCAGTGTCTAGAACAACCAAAGTGTTTGGCATATTAATGGTGGATGTGTAGGATGGAAGGTTGGATGTACGCATGACCAGTGACTCAGTGGAAGGCTGAGTGTACCCCCCATCATAGGATGAGATGTTACTTCTTTCAGTCTGAGCATGAGAAGAGGAAGAATAGTCTGAATGTGAAGACGTTACGTAAGAGGTCGAGCTCTCCCTGATGTCCGAGGATGAAGTGTTATCTGTAATGGATAGTAATGTCCGTTCTCCTTTGGTGAAAGTAGATGAAATGTAAGTGTGGTCTGTGTGGCCACTGGAAGTCCTTTGTTCAGTGTCCGTGCCACTCACTTGATTGTAGCTAATTCCAGTGACTACAAAGGGAAAAGCCAAAGTCAGGTCAAGTAAACAAACAAGAAATCTCTGAAACACACAATATAAAACAGATTTTCAATGTCCTATCCATGAACTTAAGTGGGTGAAACTTTCTTTGGAGAGGTGGTTTCCAGTGGCGAGTGCTCTGAACAGAGACAGACAGTGTGGCCAAACAGGAGTGGTCAGTGTCTGCTCTGAGCCAACTGACCTCCTGTGAGAAGCAGCAGTGGCTTCTCACAGGAAATGGTAATAAAAGAGAAGTGGGGACCACAGGCCTAAAAATAGGGAATAGCTCCAAATTCCTTCCACATGCCTTTTTTGGTAAAAAACAAATTGGTATCTGAGAAGCTCTTAAGACCCCCAATAAAATAACTGTTATGCCTAAATGGAAAAAGGAAAACCCTCCTAACTTTCCATTCTGCATAATGAGGTATTTCTTTCCCAGGAGATTGGCCTTAGCCACAAAGTGGCTGGTCCCCTTTATTTTAATCCTCCCAGCAGACAGCTCCCAAATGCCTCAGGTGATTGTGGGGGTTGAATGGGTGGAGGGGGATTTTGGAGAGGGCTGTTTGCCTTCCTGAGGTGGGAGAACCTAGAAAGTTCTCCTCATAAAGAGCTTGTAAGACACTTTGTGGGTGGATCGCCAAATTAATCATACTAGGACTTTGAGTAAATGGGCAGATGAGGTGAAGGGACGCGTTAAGGGGCTCTGCGGAAGACACACCACCTCCGAGGGCGCGCGAGGCGGCCAGCGACTGCGAGACCAGGCCCGCGCCATCTGTGGCGTTCTGGCGCGGAGTGGCGCTGTCCGGTCCGGCAGAGCTCCCCACCTCCGGCGAAGAGGCACGGGTGCTGGCGTTGGTGGCGGCGAGAGACCGCAGCGTGCGCTCCGCGACTCCAGCCAGAGTGGCCGAGGTGTACGCGCTGCGAGGGGGAGCCCCGGGCGTCCCGTCCTCCACGTCGTCGTCATCGTCGCGGCTGTCTTCTGGGGCTGTAGGAGGAGTAGAAGGGGACAGTGAGGGATAAGTGCTGGGGTGGAGCGGCAGCACCGCACCGAGCCTCCCCCTGGGCTGTGGGGACAGGCGCTTCCCTGTGCTCTCCGCCCTTTGTCTGATGTGAGTTGCTGTCGCACATGAGCGGTGACTGAAACCTCAGCAGGCGCCGCCTATCAGCACATCTGTTGGGGCAACTGAATTTATGGGAAGGCTTATTGCCTCAGAAAACAGGATCCATACTGGATTTCCGCCTGGTGATATACACAAGAAATATTTGTGTCAGGGAAATCGGCAGGCAAAAGACTAACAACACTTTAGGCGCTTTAGAAGTTCGCACAGGGCCCCGTGGGGGCACACGTCCTCCTTGGAAGCCCCTACTTCCTGGCAGGACCAGAGATCCGTGAACGCTCCTCATTCTATAGAGTGTCAGTCCGTACATGGGCAGAGAAACCCACATATGGTCAGGGGTGAAAGGTGGGCTTGTTTTTTATTTTACTTTCTCTTTTTTAAATGCATTTGTTTTATTTTATTGATGGGGATGAAACAGGGAAGTTGACACATGAATAAATATCCTTTTCCTCCTTTTTGGGGTATATATTTTGTGCTATAAACCTAAAGAATCTTAGAAATATCTTAGATCGTTAGATTATCAAATAAACCCCTTCTTTTCAGAAGTGACAAAAATGAGGTCCCATTCGTCTTGGCCTAAATACGTCATAATCTGGCTGTATGAGGAAATAGACTCTTCTCCGGTTCTTGTTCCTACACCCAGCCCAGACTAGCCCTTGATATCCTATGGGCACACTATTTTTTTTTTTTTTTTTGAGACAGAGTCTCACTTTGTTGCCCTGGCTAGAGTGCTGTGGTGTCAGCTTAGCTCACAGCAACCTCAAACTCCTGGGCTCAAGCGATCCTTCTGCCTCAGCCTCCCAAGTAGATGGGACTATAGGCATGCGCCACCATGCCCAGCTAATTTTTTCTATATGGGCACACTTTGATGGAAAACAGATGTAAAGTTGAGAGTTGGGTAAATTAATTTCAGGATGGGTGCCAATTAATGGAGTTACCGGAATGAGCATGGGGACAGGACACACAGTGACCTCAAGTAGCACTGAGAAACCCAGGAATAGAGACAGCCAGGCTGCAGAGCTTGCGAGACGTACAGAGAGAGCCCACCAGGAGATGCTTGGGAGCAGGTGTATCTAAGCATGATTTCTCTAGTAAAAAGACAAAGGCCTCGGATAGGGAGATCTTACACGATCTGTTCAATAAAATTTAGGCAAACAGCCACAGCAGGGTTACAGGCTGAACAAAGTGGAGAGTCACGGCCTCCAAGCAGAAGGGCTGAATCTGAACACAGAAAAAAGAACAGACTGAGAGCTCTGAAAGGCTGGATTGCAGAATCAGTCAGCTTTGGGCGGTTCCAAGGAAACGAGATAAAGCTTTGTGTTAATCCACAGTGAGATGGTTTCAGGAATGAGGCTACTCCTTATCTACCTCTTTATAATTGCACTCCGAGAGCTGATCACAATGAAATCCCATTTTCCACAGGAACTGACTGAGTATTAACTGCAGAGAGGAAGGGTACTGTGATGCGAAAGGGAAAAGCTGCTGAACCTGAGATCCTGGTTTGAGAAGGTAAAAATCCTGAGCCTCACCGTGGGGAGGGTGGAAATTATTCCTTTTGTTTAGGAGATAGATAGTGTGTTTTCCAGGCACAGGCATAAAAGAGTATAAATAGCCCTCACCTGTATGTGTGGTATTCTCTCATGATAAACATATGCTTTTGTACATCACGTGGGTAGTAATAATATGCTAATCTTCCTCATCAAATAGGATTCTCATATGGGGGAAATGGAGCTGCTATTATTAGTGGTGGAGAGGTAAGAATTTAAACCTATTAAAAGCTTAAATGATAAGTTACTGCATTTTTGCTTTAGTCAGAATACATTTTACATTGATAAGCCTGCTGAGAATTATTTTTGAAAATTACCCAACAGCATTATTAAAACAGAACATCAAAAGAAAAGTTTTCTCAAATTGATAAATTGGACTTCATAAAAATTAAAAACTTTTGTGCTACAAATGATACCATCAAGAAAGTGAAAAGACAACCCACAAAACTGTCTGCAAATTATATATCTGATAAAGGACTAGGATTTAGAATATACAAGGGACTCTTACCACTCAATAATAAAAAGACAACCCATTTTAAAATAGTGAAAAGATTTGAATAGACATATTCAAAGAAGATATACAAATGGCCAATAAGCACATGAAAAGCTGCTCAGCATTGTTAGTCAGCTGGGAAATGCAAGTCAAAACCACAATGAGATACCCTTCACACCCACTAGAATGGCTATAATCAAAGAAGATGGACAAGTACAAGTGTGGGTAAAGATGTGGAGACACTGGAATACTTGTATGTTGCTGATTGGAATTTAAAATGGTGTAGTCATTTGGAAAACAGTTTGGCAGGTCCTTAAAAGGTTAAAAATAGAACCACCCTATAATCTGAAAACTCCAAAAGAACTGAAAATATATGTCCTGAATGTTCACAACTACATTATTCATAATAGCCAACAGGTGGGAACTACACAAACGTCCATCAATTGATAAAAGGATAAACAAAATGTGGTATATCCATACCATGGAATATTATTCAGTCATAAAAAGGAATGAAATAGTGATACATGCTACAACATAGATGAACTTTGAGAACACGATGCTAAGGGAAAGACATAAAAGATCACACATTGTATAATTTCATTTACAGCAAATATCTAGAATGGGCAAATCCACAGAAACAGAAAGTAAATTACTGGTTGCCAGGAGCTGGGAGGAGAGCAGAATGGGAAGTGACTGCTGATGAGTATGGGGTTTCTTTTTGGAGTAATGAAAATGTTCTGAAATTAGATAGCAGTGATGATTGCACAACTTGTGAATATACAAAAAAACACTGAATTTACACTTTAAATGTACACATTCTATAGAATGTGAATTATAACTCAATAATGCTGCTAAAAGAAAGGGAGAATTTCTTTTAATGAATGCCCAGACAACTACTCAAAAGAAGGTGATATTTTCACCTTTCAGAAGCTCTGTGATTGAGGTCAGTATGGGGCTGTGGGTTGGGCTACAGGGCCAGAGAAGTCCCTGAGCTTTTGGGAAGAGGAGGCAGCAGCAACAGTTTCTCGGAGATGTACCAGAAAAAAAACTGGGGATATACAGGAATATCTGCATCAACCAGCTAGAAGAATGGCTTAGTGATAATGACACTAGAGGAGCCTGGAGAGTTACTTCGTCGGTGCCTGGTCTTAATGTGCCTCAGATGGCATAAGCATCTCAAGTCTCTCCCTGCTCTGTGGTACAGTTCTATGAAATGAAAACTTACTCGAACGTTCTCCACGTGGTGCCGAAGAATCCAGGCTTTCTGAAGAAGACGTGGACAATGACTCTGAGTAACTGCTATGACCCAACACTGTGCTACTTCCTCTGGACTGGGGAGCAGAGTCCGAGACCTGGCTCAAAACGGAAGTGTTCACAACTTCGGGATACGAAGCAGAGCTTCCCGTGGCATCTGCAAATGTCCTGCTGTTGGTGAGGAACCAGCGTGCAGTGCTCTCTCCACTTTTGGTGGATGGGACTGACCCGGACATGGACTCAGTCTGAGACACAGCACTTCCATTTTCTGCCTCAGAGCTGCTGGCCGGTTGATGTCCTCCCAAGGCTGTAAGGTACCATTGGAAACAAATGCCGTTACGTGGATATGAAAGAGATCCCTCAACAACTAAGCAGCCAGTCCTCTTAACTGAAAAGAGGAACTTTGCCAAGGAACCTTGTACAGTATTTATTGTGTGTATAATCTGACATGCACTATCATATTCTAAGTAATTACTTCAAAACTCTTGGGTGGTAGCAAAATAAAAGTTGGTGAACAGGGGACCTTTTGAACAGCATGTGCAAGTGGCAGAGTAACTTACAGGCTGTGTGTTTTATTCTTTCCCATAAAAAGTGGTCAAGGGAGTATGTCATTATGTCCAGCAAATATGAAGTGCATAAATATAGTGCCTAGGCAAAACACTTTTCCAAAACATTTTTAGTATTAATACAGATTATTCTAATTCCAAAGTATAGCAAAAAAAAAAAATCAACTATAGGGAGTAAATCAAACCATGAATTTGGGAACTACATTGATATCTGCACAATTATGTGTAAAGATGATCTGTACACAAAACAATGGAAGCTAGGTTTAGAGAGTGGGCTGGCTCTCACTTTGAAGACAATGCTGTAGAGTGAAAAGAAGATGGAAACAACCACGAGAGCCCCGGGGCTGCAATCTCAACTCTGCTGAGTGAGCCAAATGGCCATGCATGCATTACTCAACCCCTCTGAGCCTCAGCTTCTTCACTGTAAAAAAGCAGGAGGAATAACACCCATCTGACTAACTTTACAACGTTCTCGTAAGGATGAACATCCAAATGCAATCATGTGGTATGCCACATAAGGAGCTGGTGTCATCAAAGAGCGTGCTTTTCTTTGGAGATTACAAATGGTCTTGAAGACATTTCCCTGAGAAAATTCAACTCTTTTCATATGTCCCTAATAGATCAAGAAAAGATGGACTACTTACTTGGGGAATCATTTTGCCAATGTGAAGATGGAAGTCCCAGTTTATTTTCTGGGGAGGGCTCAATGGATTCCTCAGCACTTGAATTCCCAGTTACTTGACTGTTCCTTCTCGATTCCACTGCAGAGAGTGAAGAGTGCATTGAGGCTGAAGTTGTGGCAGTCTTAGAGTCCTCAGGAAAGCCCTTTGTCTCATTTGTAGGTCCCAGACTGAGAGTTAAAGACCGGAGCATCCTTGGGACACTATCAGTGAATGTGGCGGCAACATGTGTACTCTTTGTCTGACTGACCGAGGAGCTCTGGAGACCAGTGGAGTTGTTAAGTTCCTCCATACTTCCAGAAGCTATAACAGAAGAAGATAATGCTTCAAAACTACTCAGGAGTTTAAGAAAACCAGGAATATATCTAGGTACAAATGATGTCTACTATATTTTGGTGGCTAAGTCTAAATACTGCAGAGCTAAGATAGATGCAAACATTTGTGTGTATTTACACATGTATGAGCAACCAGGACATACTCTCACTCTCTCCTCACTAGCTCTAACTGTCATAGAGCTAAGTGGAAATGCAGTGAGGTCTTCACCAGGCACAATGAAAACCTTATATTCAACTAAAAGGAAAATAGGAGAAAGCAAGGCAAATACTTATTTGCCTTGGTTTTTATAGAGGAAGATGAAAACTTCTGCTGAATTCTACATTATAGATTAAACAGGAGAGGCCATGGCAATAAGGTTTTTGTCACTGTTTTGTTTTATTTTGGCAGTGCAACGCTTTTGTCCAAATGCTATGATAGATTAAAATCTTATACATAAAATGAATAAAAATGGGGCTGCTGCAGGATGCCCAGGCCCCAGGTCACCACTGAGGATGCCTAGGGTTTTACAGAATATAGTTGGGACACTAATGGCCTAGAACAATAATTCCCAGCCTTGTCACTATCAAAGGCTCCTTATTACTCCTCACTTCATGGCCACCATAAACTTTATGTTTTAAAAGACTATTCATCAAACTGCATTTATTAAGTAACAGAACTTCTAAGCCAGCAGGAAACATTCATGATTACCCCATGAATTTGATTTAATCCCATCCAAAAGCAAACAGGCTTCATTATTGTAGTTAGTCTCATTAAGCTTTAGAGTAGCTTTGAAATCTACATGCTCCAATGGGGCCCCAGGAGATCAAGCACTCCAGGAACAATTTTTCTAAGCAATGGATGGCAACCATTGGGTAATTGTCAAGAACCTCAAGAAGTGAATTATACACCATTGGTCAAAATGCATAGTCTGCTCTGCACAAGCATGGGTGGCTCACTCATGGCTGCCTTAAGCAAGAACTTTCCATAGCATACCCTGAGAACTGACCTCCAGAAGGGTATATTAAAATCTTCATTCCAAACAGGAATAAACTGCAGGAAAGCTTGGTGAATGGAAAAAAACATGGTGGGTAAGAAGACTAAAGGCAGTGTTTGGGTAAGAAGTGGTGGGTAAGAAAACAAAAGAGAGTATTTTTTTCCTTTTTAAGCTAAAAATAATAAAAAGTACTCTACACCTATATAGTAAAAGCCTTTGAGCTATTAATTATGACCCAGAAAATGGAAAAAGGAGGTTGTCATTATAAATAGTTTCTTGAAGATCAGTCTTATATGCAATCTGACCAAAAGCGCAAATAAATTTTAAATATATATATAGAGAGAGCGTGCACACAGGAAACAAAAGTTTCCTCTTATTCTTGTGCAAAACCATAGAACCAGCTATACCTAAAACATAGCCTGAAGCTCTGGTCCCTGGACTTCAGTAAAGACAAAATGAAGATGCAGGCAATTCACAAAACTATTAATTGGAAGGAAAGAATAGAAAGACCTGGACACAAAAATAGAATCCCAGACCACCCAAACTCACCCTTACTTAAAAACAAAAAAACAAAACAAAACAAGCCAACAAAAAACACTTTAGTATTTAAAAAAAGGAAAGCATAGTAGATATGCCCCAAATCCTCACTCAACCACTTAGCCTCTCAGGCCTACCTTCATGAGAGTTATTATCTATTTCCACCAAATTCCAGCCTCATCAGATCAATAGATATTCTTTCAAAACAATTTTGTTCCCAGTAAACTGCATTATTTCACCCATTCAATGTACCCATCAAAACACAATGGTGATTATATCAGGTTCAGCCTGGATGACCCAGGCCTGTCCACCTCTGGTGGTTTTAGCAGAAATGGTCACAGAAATGCAATCCCAAAAGTCACAAATGCTGAAAGTCATGACAGGAAAATGGCTGTTTTTCCCAGAATCTGAGAGCTCTGTAGAACACTACTTCTTCATCTCATTGTCTCATTTCATCCTTATCATCATTATAAAAAGCTACCGTTCATTTACTGACCAGGCATTGTGCTAAGTACTTTAAATACGAATCTCATTTAATCCTCATAGTAAAGCTATGAAATGTGTGTGAATACTTCTGTAGACTTGGAAGTAGAGGAAATGTTTGGTCAAATAATCTACAGTCACCACTTATATTACTCAGTGAGCACCTGCTAAATAAATCTAAGGGGAAATGTACCATGTTTTTAACCAAAAAACCAGCATGCCCTTCCTTGCTCATTTCTACTCCTGAAGGAACCATTCAAAAATGGAGGGACCATCCATCTGGGAACAGAAATAAGCCACGTTTCTATTCTTTATAACGGGAGGTGGAAAGAATGCCTACTCATCTGGTTAAAGTACAGAGGTCACTCTTCCAATCACTGGAAGCTGGGGTATACATCAGAATGTTCAACCTAGACTTGACTGCTATCCAGAACTTGCCAAAAGTACAGCTGAAGCAGCTGATATTTGAGAAACATATGCTAAATCTCCAATCTTCTGAGTTATTTATGGTCTCTCTCTTTACAAAGGGAAATCACCACAAAGCAATTTCCCTGGACCACATTAGCTTAGCTGTCCACAGAAATACTTTTACAAGTTGAGACCCATTATTATACCCTCAGCTACTATTGAGATCTATATGAAATATCACCTTTGAAAGAACATTAGCATAATTTCCACAAAGCAGCAATTGAAGGCATTTTCCATTATGATCCTCAACATTTCTTATTATAAATAGTGCTGTTGGAATTTACTGCCCCACGACACTTATGCCTATGGATGAATTGTGTGCTTGCTTTATCTGCCAACAATCGCGTGCCACACCCAGTTTCCCTTTGTGCCCTGGTTTCCAGGAAGCTCAGTGCTAAATTTAGTGCTCAATTGTAGCCACTCTCACACAATTCAACATACACATATCTCTTTCCACCTTTAAAAGAGAGCTTTTTCCCCTGTTTGTTGCTTTATTTCCACCCCCTCCCCCAATGATCAAATCATACATGGTCATTATAGAAAATATGGAAAGATATAAAGAGCTAGAAAAATCATTTCAAATGGTTTCTGATCTCTTTTTTTTAAATCTAATTTTGTTGCCTGGGCCTATATCTGTTTTAACACTGTAAGGCATACAATGTATTTTTGGAAGCAGCTAACTCCTGATACCCCAGCCTCAGGAGAGGCTGTACAGTTGTGCTGCAGGCGCGTTTCTGGGCAGCGGAGTGAGGAGTGGAAGGAGGCGCAGAACACGAAGGCTGGATGTGTGTGGAGTAGCAGACGCTGGAACTAGGAAGGGCCTTTCAGATCAACGGGTCAAATCCTTCCATGTTTCAAATAAGAAGCCTCCTCGTCCCTGTGCCAGCCTCTTAGCTGTCATCCTCGTGTTCACCAGCGAGGAGCCTCACCAGTCTGATGGGTCTCGTGCCAGGCTTCTCACTGGGTCATGTTTACCAGTGGATGGTGGAGCCAAGTGCCAAAAGGCACGAGCCCCCACTGCCCTCCCTCTTCACTTCTGTCTTTGCAGAGCTGGCCCAGCAGGCCAGGTCGACTCCGGGTCTGCCTCTGGCGGGTCCTGCTGGCTCTTGCCAGAGTGCCAGAGCTCCTGTATCATGAAGTGAGAAAGGGACGGTGGCAGGTGCTAGCGCAGCTTTAACAATAAAGCACAACTTCGCTTCCCATGTGGCTTCAGGTCCTTGCGCAGTATCCTCTGCATCCCACGGCAGGAGGGGAGGCTGGAGGCTGGATTCAGATGTCCGTGGCTGCCTGGCGACAACCCCCTTTCACAGCACTCAGAGCCCTCTCCAGTATGTGAGAGGGTGGCGGGACTCTACCTAGAACAGCACACCCCATTCGCTAAAAAGGGAGATAAATGCTCCATAAAAGACACAAGGAATGGGAAAGATATGGTGGAACTCTCCAACAAGTAAAAGTATGAGGTTCTAAAAGGACAAATGCTCAAAGAGTTCAAGGGATATATATATATATATATATTTTTTAGTGTTGAAAAATATAGGTGAATACAGAGTCAAGTGCAATAAAATTGGAAACATAGGATGATTTTCAAATTTACCACAGTAGTACGTTGAATTTAAATTATAAATATTAAATGACCCTAACCAGAATTAAAGTATAGCTTCCTAGAAAATGCTTCATTTCCACCCTTCAGTAAAGTTGATTGTAAATCACTGAACCACAGAACTTTGGAGCAGGAAAGGATCACAGCTTTTATCCAATCCAACCAATGTTTATGAATAATCTTAAAAAGCAATCTTCTAAAAACATAAATCATAGATTGTATCCATATGCAGTCAGCAGGAAACTGTATACAGAGCATACGGAAGAGGAATTGGCTGCTTTAAATAGACATTCCAGAAAGGACCTTTGGGTTCAGTTTTCGCTTTGATGACATAAACCCAAACTCTGAGACTTACAAAGTACTTCTAAAAAGCTCTGACCTATAAAAATTTTGAAATGGCAATTTCTGAAGCAATCTAACCTCTATGTCTCAAGAATATTTCCAACCTTCTCTACGCGGCTCCCTATCACACAAGGAAGAAAACACAAGCAGCACACACAGACTCTGAATGGAACCTCAGAGAAGAGGAAAGATTAGCAGAGTTTCCAGCACTCTCTTTGGCCCAGGGCAGGAAGTCCCCTGTTTGGCCACATGCTAATCCTCATTTCTTATCAGCTGCACCTTGTCCTGGCATGGTGGGGGACCTAAGAGAATTAACAGACACAGCCTGTGTCCTAACTAAGGTTACAATCTGTCTGGGCAGAGTCATTAGATGACCTGGTATGACAAGGTGTATATAGCACAGAGGACCAGAGAGTTGAAGAAAGGCTCATGGAAGTGGAATACTTGAGCTGAGACTCAACTGATGAGTAAGAATTAGAATGGCAGAGAGAAGAGACCGCTCCACCTGCAATTCCTAACATCATGCCCTGCAAACTCCTGCACTGTGTAGATTATTATTTTTTTTCAAAATGATGCCTAGAAAAATTTATACCCATGTTTCTTTGACATTGAAGGAAACATTTTTGCAATAATAAAGACATAAAAATCTAACTCCTAATCAAATGGTACAGTGCTCACCATTTCATGCACCCCAATGTGTGGCCTAATGTGTAAGAATATACACTAACAACGCTTAGTCTTTGTTGCATGTGTGTATGGGGGCGGGAGACAGGGAAGCAGGCAGTGGTGAACCAAAGGCCTAGGCCTAGGCCACAGAACAACTATTATTTTTCTTCTTATACCATTAAAGAAAACATATTTTAAATATGAACTTCAATACTGAAATGAACTGTGTAGGTTACGTGTACTTGTACCCCAAATGCTTGGCTTTAGAGGAATGGCACCTTTGCTTAATGTCTTTTCCCTTTATCCTCTATGACCAGTAGGTAACTAGCCAGCTATCCACATCCATCTGTGTCCACTGTAAGTGACTTTGCAGTGGTAAGCTGGGGACAGGAGTACTTACAGGAGGAATGGTCCAAGGGAGGGGAGGAAGCTGGGGTCCTGGAGAAATGCAGCAGGGAGAGATCTGGTCCCAAGGAATTTCTCCTGGACAGCGTGGCTGGTTCTCTGGGCTCCAAGGCAGAGAGAGGGGACGGGCTCAAAACTGAGGTTGTAGCCACTTGGGTGTGCACAGTGACTTCTTCTGAGAGCCCTGTCCCCCTCTCCAGTGAGCCCTGGGATGGTCCACTCTTCGTGTGAAAAGGAGCAGTTCTTCCTTTGGACCCTGAGCTACCGGCCAGCAGGTGATGCCTTTCCAAGCCTGAAAGCAGACAGCAACAATTAAAATTCCACCAGCAGACCTCAAAATGTCTTCATGTGCTTTTAGTGGGCTCAACTTTGACTTCTATAAAATATATAGACATAAGAAGAAATTAGGAGCAGTAAGTCATGCAATGAAAAACGAACCCCTGAAAGGGGGACCACAAACCAAGACAAAGATTGTGTTCAGATCTCATAAAGACTTTGCATTTTGTAGTAAAATTAACAGGAAAGGGGCACATTGGTGCTAAATTTCAGACAACATAGAATCAGAGGTCAGTGTCTGATCATCATGATCCATTACCCACATCCCACAAAGCTGGTCCCAGAATTTATCTGAATTCAACATAAAATTCCCAACATCTAGATGACCAATAAAACCAGGCAACAGCAAGGTAGTTTGTGAGCTCGGTAGCTGTCACTCATGAATGCAATACGAAATACTTTCATATGTATCCTTTACAGAATCGAATCCCCCAACCAGACCTCCCTTCACTAGGACATGGAACCACGGTGTCATCTTCGACCACTTCATTCTCTACTGTCGGGCCATCACCACGTCCTGTCCACTTTCCTTTGTGAAGTCTCATTACCAATCCGTTCCTCTCCAGCCTGTGGCTGCCAGGCTATACCTCAGCACCTGCTGTCTGGATTTCTGTGTCTGCCTGAGTGGTTCCCTGACTCCCAGTTCCCTTCATCCTCCCACTCCATACAGACAGCTTGTACCTGCCTGCCAGGATGATCCTCCCCAAATTCATGTTAGTCATGTCCCTCCCTTGTTCAAAACCTTCAGTGAGTCTTCCCACTGCACTAGATCTAAACTGCCTGGTTTCCAAAGTCCTCCATGACTGTCCCTAACCCCATGCACACAACTGTCCCCCCTCCTCCTCCTCTACTCTGTGGGCAACTTATGCCTTCCCCAAGGCAGGCTGCTGGCCTTGCCACCCACAGAGGCCACACCTGTCTTTCTCTCCTCTGTACCTTCACTCACATTGCTCAGGCATTCCAATCCTCAGCCGCCTCTGCCACCTGGCTCAGATACACAGATGTGGGCTCTAATCCCAGTGATGCAACCTGTTTGCTGTTTGACCTACACACATTGGGTTAATTAACTTCTTTGAGCTTCTGCTTCCAAATTTCTAAAATGATGATATCATGACTTTGTGGGCTTGCATAAGGATTGAGAGGACAGACTTGGGAGTATGTAGTAGGTACCTAATCAGTGCTAGTTTTCTCTGTCTTCTCTTCCTCAATCAAATCGTACCCATCAAGCCCCAACCCCTTCTAGAAATTCTTTGTTAAAAACAGCAAATCACCAAGCTGTGAAGACCAGAGCAAGAACAACCATTTGAGCCACATCCACACAAACAAACCCCAAGCCTGGTTTCTTTCCCAGCAATGCATCCCACCAGACCTGGTGCCTCTGAGATAGCAGCGTGTGGCAGGATCCCTGGGGGACGGGGAGGTTTGGATCCCGATTGGCCGTGGATCACAGATGCTGCAGGATCAGCCAGGCCGCTCAGCAAATCTGCACTCTCACCTGGGCTGTACTTACAAGCAGGCCACAGATGGGGCCTAAGTCACAGGTGTGACCCACCCAGCCCAGAACCACTGGATGGACACAATGGCTCAGAGCTAGGGGGAGGAGGAATGGCAGAAATTTTGTTTTCCAGGACTGAACAAACTTGAATGAAATGAGTGTCACCAGCACAAACTCACCCAAGGTGTTGCTCTGGGAAGTCAGGGCCGTTGCCCTCTCAAGCAAGCGCCCAACAGGTGAAATGGTGAAGTTTATTCTACTTGAAGAGTCATTTCTTCCTCCAGCATCTGCTGTTTCAGTTCGTAGAGTGAGGTTTTCTGGGGCATCCGAAGAAGCATGGTTCTTTCTAGAGGTCTGAACCATCACACCCTCTTTAGAGGCCACTGTCGAAGAGTCCTTTTGATTCTGATAGGAGGTGATGTTTTCTGTGCGGGGTTCAGTGTTGTTTTCTGGCCAATGGTTCCTTATGGTGGCTGAAATAAGAAGAAAAGGCATCAGGGAGGAAACAAAGTAAGCCTTCAGAAAAGACACCATGAGATACATCGGTAGAGAGTGGATTTAAGTAAAAATAATTTCATCTTTTTTTTCCTCTACATTAATTATTCTTGCAATTCAATGGAAGAAGTTATGAAGCAACAACACAATCTAGTGTGTGGAATAAATATGAAAATCCATAGAAAGAGACAAACATGGGGCTGAAGGAGGAGCATGTGAAACTCTGGCACCTGGGCAGGCTCGGAGAGGGGCATGGAGGAGGAAGGTCAGGTATGAGCAGAGGGGAGGGGGCACCTCAGAGGTGCCAAGGTTGTGAACCGTGCCTTCTGTGGAGGCAGAAAGGTAAAAGCTGGCAGCCCCTAATCCTGACACCTGCTCTTGCAGGCAGGAGGCGGAACATGCTCAATTAGGGTACAACATGAAGGATTTGGCAATGTTACTAAAACTTTTCTAATATAAATAGGTTTGACTCAGTAATTCCATCTTCTTTGAATTTATCTAAAGGAAATATTCAATAATGTGGATGAAGATTTAGCTGCATAGATGTTCATTACAGCATTGTTTACAACAGCAGAAGGAAGGAAGGGAGGAAGGAAGGAGGTACGAATGAACTTAAAAATCCTACAGTAGGATATTAATTAAGTCAGTTACAGTATACAGTATTCACATGAAAGGACACTATGTGGTCATTAAAATGATGCTATAAAATAAAGCTATTCTACAGATATTATTGAATTAAAACAGCAGGCTTCAAAACAGAATTTAGATTTAATGATCTTATTTTGTGAAAAAATTAATAATAATAATAGCAAGCTGTACATGGTGGCACATGCCTTTACTCAGAACACTGAGGTGGGAGGATCACATGAGCCCAAGAGTTCAAGACCAGGCTGGGCAACATAGCAAGACCCCATCTCTAAAAACAATGACAATCTTAAAAAGAATAATAATGATAGTAAACGTGTGTGTGTGTGTGTGTGTGTGTGTGTGCGCGCACGCGCACCAAACACTGAGGTAAGCACCTACATGTATTCATTTAATCCATACACAAAATCAGAGCTAGGTGCTCTTATTCTCCCCATTTAAGTAGGAAGCAAAGGCATGGAGGGTAGGGGGAGGTCATGTACCTTGCCCAAGTCACAAGGTCAAACAGCAGGAGGGCCAGGACTATCCCAAGGAGTCTGCTCCAAACCCAAGCCCCTCCCTCTCAGCTGTGCTCAGCTGGGCAGATTAAACATAGGAGAGGAGTGTTATTTCCAAGTCAGGGGTGCTGAGGAAATGCTGTTCTTCAGTATGGACTGTTAAACTTGGGACTGAATGTGTTTATATTAGTCGGAAAATATATTTAAATGATAATTTACTTTCATAACATCCAAGATGATGGCAAAGAGGGTATTAGTTAAAAACATTCTGAGGATAAAGTTAAAGTTGGGGTAAAACTGGACGCTTAGGAAATCATCTATAACGTCACTTGTCAAGACAGGAGGTTCAGAGTTAGAACAGGTGGGTGGGAGGCCCCAAATCCAACCCAAGAAACCTGCCCTGTTACTCTGGGAAGTCTGTACAGTGTGGCCACAGGCTATAAGGCAAGGCTGGGCTTCTTCTGGGGCACTGGGCCCTGCAAGGCAACACTGAAATCCCACAGTATTCTACAGACGCTGTCCTCTCCATGCAAATCCACACTAAGATGGAAGCAAATATGAAACACGTGTGCTAATTGAGGGGCACTGAGTTTAATGAGTTCCCAGAGAGAGCAAGGATGAGGACAAGGACAATTTGAAATTATGGCTGATTACATGGCTTCTTGAAAAATCCATTTTTATTGTCCCCATTTGGGAATGATATTTCTCTTCCTGCTTAGAATTAGGGGCTATGGGCACTGTTGAGAAACCTCCATGGGGATGAATGAAATCATTTCTATTTATGAGTCAGGCAAAAATGGCAAACCATCTGACAAGTGGAGGCTGCAGACAGAACCTACAGTTTATATCTAAATCTCTCTCTCTCTCTCTCTCTCTCTCACGCACACACACACAGAACAAGTTATCTTTTAGATCAGTGCTGCCTAAGAAATAAAGTGAAGCACAAACACAATCCACAAATGTAACTTCAAATTTTCGAGTAGCCACATTTTTAAAATTAAAAAGGTGCCATTAACCTTAATAAATATTTTACTTAATTCAATATATCTAAAGTATTATCATTTCAATAGGTAATTGATATAAAAATATGAGATTTTCTATTCCTTTTTGGTATTAAGCCTTTAAAATCCAGTGAGTATTTTACTAGCCACATTTCAAGAGCGGCGTAAACACACATGGCTAGTGGCTGTTTCACCAGGCCTTGCAGGTATGTGTCAACGGGGCTGAACATTTCCCCACTCTGGCCCACTCCTAGCAGAAGCAATGGCTCACTTATCTGGGGTTCAGGGTGGTGATGATTATAAAAACTTCCATAAGAGATTCTGACAAACTTTCCTAAGGGAATCATTTCCTCCCCAAATCCCTTGAGAACTGCTGTTTTTGTGCCCCCTATTCTGTTTCCTGTGGGTGATAATTAACAGAGGCTTCCTGGAAGAGGAGGGACATTGCCCAGCATCTGGGCTTCTCCCAGGCCCAGGGCCAGACATGCAAGGCCCACACTCAGCTAGAAATGGGATGTGCAAGGGATGTTTCCAGGGGAGCCACAAAGTCCCTATGTTCGACTTGGGGCCCTGGGGTTACAGACAGCAGTGACCGGTGGGGCATGCTCCCGTTTGTTCTTCCTCACTGAGCTGCAAAGGCAGGCTGGCCTCCTCCTGGGAGGAGGTGAAAAGGTTTGAGGATGCTTTTTCTGTCCTCACAGTTAACTGGGCACAATGAGAGAAATCATTCTCAAAGGAAGCCAGAAAAAAAGCGATTGTAGGGAGATAGACGGGACTCAAAAACCTATGCACCAATGCTGGCAAGCCATGAGCAAAGGGAAGGTAATGAACTTAGCTCCATTATAGCTTAAGACAAGGGTGAGACTCAGCCATTGGTGAGAATGGCTGGGCCTCTGAAGAAGCAGCAATGTCTCATTCTTCAGGGCATAGGAGTGGAAGTCCCAGACCCCAGTCAGCTCAAGGAATTCCACTGCAGTCTCTAAGTGAAAAAAAAAAAAAAAAAATGGCCACACACAGAAAGGACATGGCTCACAGTGGACCACGCTCTCTCCTTGGAGGGTTAACTGAAGATGTAAGAAAGAAAAAATGCACACTATAAAGAAAACTAAAAGGCAGACAATAGTCCTGCAGTATCCTCAATAACCCTGCCACTATAAACAACTAAAAGTGCTGAACAAAGTATTTTTTTAAAAAAATTCTAAATGCATTGCTGAGCTGGCAAGTAAGTATAGAATCAAGTCTTCTGAGGCCAAAAATGAACCATGAGCAGGAATTCAGAGAGTGAGCTAATGATGAAGCTGGGGGCACTTGTTCAACATTTATGACCTTGAACTTTGGTGCTGATGGCCACAGAGATCCAGGAGATGGAAGACAAACTCTCGAGGAGGGAGTCCAGAAGGAAACCACTATGTAAAGCTGGGATGCCAAAGGACCAAAGCAAATGGAAACAAACCTGCCCCACACAAGGAAATCTAGCCCTTTAATCTTGGTTTTAGGTGAAAGAAAAAAATAAATCTCACTGAAGAACCATAAAGCTAGCCCTTGTGTGGTTGTGCAGGACAAATTCACATTACATATATGGTCTAAACCTCAAGCTGAGGATGTATTTAACAGTGGTCCTGAACCTTGCAAATATACTAAAAACCACTGAATTATACACTTTAAAAGAATGAACTTTATAGTATGTAAATTATATCTCAAATATATACACACACACATCCTACTAATAATAGGCATAGGGGAGAAGTGGTCCAGGTGAATAGTACCTCCAAGTACCTGGTGGAAATATACAAATGTTCTCTAGATGAACATATCTTCAACCCAAATTTAAATTTAAATTATCATTTATCAATAAAATTCTAAGGAATAAGAGACAAGAGTCAAAATTCATAAAATATATAAGGAAACATGACATTCACGGGCAGAAGTCAGCAAATTAGGCAAGCAAAGACTTCAAATACTGGAATTATCAAAGAATGTAAATGTATAAAACTACATTAGAAAAAATAAGAGCAAAAGAGACTATAAATAATGACCAAAATATGTTAAAGAAACCTATATGGAAATTCTAGAAATGAAAAAATATGTTAATTGAAATTAAGAAATCCAACAGATGATAAGACATGGCTAATGTAAGAATTAGGAATTAGAAAACAGATGACAAGAGAATGACCAAAATGAGATTAAGAAAAAATATAAAATAGAGTTTAAGAGACAAGGAAGAGGCTGGGCATGGTGACTCACGGCTGTAATTCTAGCACTCTGGGAGGCCGAGGTGGGCGGATTGCTCTATGTTGGGAGTTCAAAACCAGCCTGAGCGAGAACCCATCTCTACTAAAAATAGAAAGAAATTAATTGACCAACTAAAAATATATATACAAAAAATTGGCTGGGCATGGTGGCACATGCCTGTAGTCCCTGCTACGTAGGAGGCTGAGGCAGAAGGATCGCTTGAGCCCATGAGATTGAGGTTGCTGTGAGCTAGACTGATGGCACGGCACTCACTCTAGCCTGGGCAACAAAGTGAGACTCTGTCTCAAAAAAAAAAAAAAAAAAAAGAGAGACAAGGAAGATAGAGGGAGAAAGCCAAACACACACCTAATTAGAGCTCTAGGAGAAGACAGAGAAAAGAGAAGTGGCAATATTCAAAAAAGAAATGACTGAGAATTTTCCAGAATTGATAAAAAGCATGAATCTTCAGACCAAGAAAGCTCATCATATCCTTAGGAGGCTAAATAAAAAAGAAATATATACCCATATCATAGGGAAACTGCAGAAAACCACAGACTAAGACTAGGTCGTAAAAGCAACCAGAGGGGGAAAATATGACAAATCATCTACAGAAGAAGACAATTAGATTTACAGCTGACTTCTCAATGCAACAATGGAAGCCAAAAGACAGTGGGTAAGTATTTTCAATTAGATGAGAGAGAAAACTGGAATTGTATACTCAGCAAAACTATCTTTTAAAGACATCTTGAGACTATCAAATAAAAACATCTTTAGTCAAAATTGAGTTTATCATCCACCTCCACTAAAGAAAATTATAGCAAATTTATTTCAAACAGAAAAAAATCCTAGATGAAAGATATAAGATACCAGAAGATATAATGAGGAAAAAAAGTTAAATATGTGAATAAATCTAAAGAAGTAATGACAGTATTATCTCATTTGCAGGATTAATAAAACAAAATGGAACAAATCCTGGATAACAATAGTGCATAAGTATGGGGAGGGATGATTAGAACCATCAGTGGTTGCATAGAAGGGTAACTTTGAGTTGTGTGAAAATGCATTTAAAGTACCTCTCTAAATTTAATTAAATTAAAATGCATTTAAAGTAACTCTCTAAATCTAGAAATTGTGTATTACTTCCAAACTGGTAGGATTTAGGATGATATAAAATTTCCATAGAGAGAAATCAATAAATATTGTCTAAAAACAAAAACAAATCAATAAATAGGAACATGGGCACATTATTTAGAGAAGTAGAAAAAATTACTAAAAGAATCAGTTAAAAAGGTTGAAAGTGGTTGATTCTGGAGAACAGAAAATGATGATGATGGGTGGACAGGGTTCTTATAACAGCCTTATAGAACCTACCGGATCTTGAAACTATACATAAGTCTGATAAAAATAAAAACGAAACTTTTAAAAAGTTGGATGACAAACAGGAGTAAATGTCTGCAGTGCCTGATAAACTTCGGCACCCATAATAGATGAAGAACTCTTTCAAATCCCTAAGATGTACACAAAGAACATGAATGGGCAATTCACAAAAGGAAATAATACATGAAAGTATTGTTGGGAAGCAAAGAAGTACAAAACCAAACTAGAAAATACCTTTTAAATTATTTATTTATGGTTGCCTCTCAAATTGGTAAAGATCTGATGTCATTGTAGGTACTTTCATACAATGTGGGTAAGAATATAACTGCCACAGTCTTTCTGGCAAGAAATTTAGCAATCCATTGCAAAAGTCTTAAAAATAGGCATATATTTTGACCCAAGAATTCCATTTCTGGAAATTAGTTCTAAGGAAATTATTAAGGAAATGTGCAAAGTTTTAGGTATAAGGAAGTTTATTACAGCATTGTTTATAATAATGAAAATTGGAAACAACCTAAATTTCTACAATAGGGAGTTTGTTAATAATTATGGGACAACATTTCAAAGGGCTGACCAAAATATATCACTATATAACTTTAGTTATGTATCATGCTCACCATATATTGTTAAGTACAAACATAAATTATAAAATGATATATACTGTATGATCCCATGTTATTAAAAATATACTTAGGCCTGGTGTGGTGGCTCACACCTGTAACCCCAGGACTTTGGGAGGTCAAAGGAGTAGAACTGCTTGAGGCCAGGAATTTGAGACCAGCCTGAGCAACATGAGACTCCATCTCTACAATAAACAGAAAAATTAGCTGCGCATGGTGGCACGCACCTGTAGTCCCAGCTACTTCAGAGGCTGAGGCAGGTGGATCTCTTGAGCCCAGCAGTTTGAAATTGCAGTGAGCTATGATGATGCCACTGCACTCTAGCCCAGGGAACAGAGGGAAACCCTGTCTCAAAATAAATAAATAAATGTATACATACATATATGTATGTGTGTGTATATGTGTATGTGTGCACATGTGTTTCCTAAGAAAAAGAACAAAAATGGTTGGCATTTTGGTAAAAGGATTCCAGGTCTGGGAACCTGGAGAAGCCACTTTCTAATGGGCTTTCTTTGGTCCCCAGACTGCCCCTAAGGTAGGTGGAGTCTGTAAACCTTAAATATAAAGTTGGCTCATGCAAATTGCTAATAATGAAGTATGTAGGTTGGGACTCCAGCGACATTTCTGAAACATAACATAACATAAGCATGTGAATGGCTTTGGCTGCACAGTTGAAGGACTGATGAATTTACTTGTGTCTGGGCTGCTTGGCCCCTTACCACTCTGACTAAGTCGTGACCATAACCGGTCAAAGACAGGTGCCAGTGACTATTATCTCCAGAGCAGCTGGAGACAAGACACACCCTTGGTCAGTGCTGCCGCTGTTAGGCCCTGCTGACCTCAGACACCTGCCTTCTTGTGGTTACATCTCCACTGTCTTTCTCCTTATTCAGTGAGTGCCACAGTGGCCTGAGAAACTATTACCTTTAGTGTCCCCTCTTTACCTAGGGACCTCTCCCTGTCTTCCCCAGGGACGCAGGAGGCAACATTAAAAAGTTGTTTGTTTTACCCATACATTCTGAATCTGTGTTTCTATATAAAGGTTCTCTCACCTAGAAGGAAATGGAGCTTTCTGCTCTATGCCTGGATCTAGAAATTCAGTTCTTGCCAAGAGAGGCTTACTTGATAAGAGCGGGTAATGCGCAGACCATGGTTAAAGTCAGACTGTCTGCCTTAGACTTCCGGCTCCACCAGTTACATGCCCTATGACCTTAGGCAAGATACATTTCTCTGTGACTTGCTTCCCATTTGTAAAATGGGGATAATAACAGTACCTGCCTCACTGAGTTGTTGTGAAGATTAATAGAGCACAGACAGGTAAGAGCTTAGAATAGTACCTGGTACATGGCGAGTGCTATATATGTTACAGCTATCAGATGGATTTAGGATTATCAACTTTTAACAAGTAGATTTGTGGATGAACTTGGCAGGCACATACAATCTAGGCTCAGTCTCCTAATCCTTTTTCAGGTGGTGGATCAGAGCTGACACCAGAGCTGGCCCAGGCTCCCAGGCCCTCGTCGAAGCTAGAAGTCCACTCTGATTAAAAAAACTGAGGCTAGCCCGGTGGCTCCTGGGCAGCTTGTGCCCCAGTGAGTTCCACTCCATGACACTCTCCTAGGAGGCACAGGGAGAACTTCGTGGACGCAGGGTAAGACCTGTGATCACCTCTGGCATGGCAAGCTCCTCATGTCACTGGCCTGGGGTCCCAAAAGAACAATATCCCTCTGCCCCCTACTGCACTCTGGTGCCCCTCTATTTCTTTTATTGCCTATGAACTCTTCCTTAGAAAAGGGACTAACAAACCACACAGGCTGGGGCAAGTGGCACCCCTAGCTCACCCCCTTCCCACTCAAGGTCTTGTTTGATCATGAACATCTAAGTGCTTCGTGTTGTATCTCAGGGAGGACAATGGGTCAAATGCTAAAATATTTGCTGAAGTCCAAAGATTAATCCTATTTGAAGCCCTGAGTCACTTGGGGCCCCTGCAGATAAATTCTGTTTGCAGTGTGGCTTCCTATTCAACACCTGTGTAAACCCCGAATAGGGGAGTAATTCAGAGAAACCACGTTACCACTGAATCCTACGAAGGGCTGAGTGGGGACCTACCACATGCAGGGGAAGGTATCAAAGAACCTGCTCTTGGTCTTGGAGGAGGAAATGGCCCTGGAGACATGGAAAGAACAGATGCCTCAGGCTTCGGGGCCTGGGCCAAGTGGGGAGTGAGAAGGGGCTCTGTCCCATCAGACGTTCACGGGGCATCCTCTGGGGCAGGAGCGGCACCTGGAGGCCCAGCAGAAGCTGATGTTGCTCACCTCACCCAGGCCAGCTCCCCAGATGGTCAGAGATAACTCTTCAAACTCCAACAACCACGACAACTGAGCCACACTAACCATCCTCATATTGGAGATTGAATATCCCATTTCTCAGGTACCTTTTGAGCTGGAAATATCATCCTTCCCTCTGCACTCAGCCCCCAGTGTCAGGCCATAATTTGCGCTTGTACCATGAATGGAGATTAAATTAACAAGAGAGTTTTATTGCTTTGCCTGGTTTTTTTTTTTTTTTTATCCCTAGTTGACAACTTCCACTGCTGTAGCGTCTTAATGTTCCAAAACATCTGTTTGTGAACGAGTATCATCAGGGACGCTAGCACATCCCAGGAATAGGCTTTCCTAATTAGCAGCTGCTACAGAGTCGACTCCTTGCCACCCCCACCCCCACCCCCCACCCGCCGGTGATTTGGGGTTTTTCAACTTGCATTGTTTCTGAGCAGTGGAGTGGGAGTGCACAGCAAGTGTGCCCTGTCATCCGAAGAGGCAATTTCCTCCCAGTGGGCCACCCCACCCCCACACCTCTCCATGCACCGCTGCAGCGCGCCCAATGCCAAGTGCTGCCGGCTACAAGCTTGTGCTTCTGGGCACAAAGTGGAAAAGTGAGCCCTTATTTTCATTTCCCTCCATTTGGATTCAGGTCTCAGTAACATCTATTCAGTGCTCACCACATGCTAAACGTTTTCACATGCATTATCTCATCTGATGCTCATGACGGCCCTATCAAGTGGGCATTATTATCCTCACATGGCAAATGGGGAAACTGAGGGGCAGAAAGATTCAGTGATTGTTCCAGGCCCCACACTTAGCAGCAGCAGAGACACAGTCTGAACCTAGCTCTCGTCCCATCACACTCTAGCATATTCCGTGAGGCTTTCAGGTACTGGCGGGAAAGAGCACAGTCAAATGAGTCCCCCCCCCCACCCAAAAGTCAAACCTCAGCCTTAAACACAACTGCACTGACCTTGTTTCTCCCTCAGAGAAATGCAACGGTGCCTATCACGTCGGCTTTGGAATCAGACAGGCTGCGTTTGACAACAGCTGCATGTTATTAGCTAGAAGACTGAGCAAGAGGACTTCTAAATCAGCCTCTAACTCAGAGATGATTTGTATGCATAAGGAAAAGAATGATAATAAAGAGAGAGTAGAGCCAGAACAGAGAACGAGTCTGAGGAATTAGAAAAGTCTGTTTTCGAAATGTGAAGTTTGGAGTGATGTCATAACTTCCAAGTGAAAACGTCCGGAAGGCATTCAAAGATTTGGCATTGTTGCTCAGGAGGAAGGACAGAAGACGGCATGTGAAGGGCAAATCAAGGGTTAAGGACTGATTTTAGGGAAAATTTGCATATGGAAGGAGGAGAAAGAGCCAGTGACAGGGAAAAAAGGATGGCAAAGGAATGACAGGAGGAAATTAAAAGCAGGAGCCAGTGAAAAGGAAGGCAGTGAGTGCCAAGAGGCAGTGGAGACCATGGACAAAAAGGCCATGCCCTAGTCAGTAAAATCTCTAGGCTTTTCCAGGGTGTCGTTTGGTAGATGGAAGGTGGAGGTCCCATTGCAAGGGGTAAGGCTCAGGAGGGAGAGGCTCTGGACCTGTAAGACGAGATCCCCAGCTGCAGAATCCCTGTCCCTGCCTCCCCTTAGAGCTCTCCCAGCATTCTCACCTTGGGGACTGGTGGGGTTGGTGCCTTGTATCCACACTGTTGTAGGTACTAGCAATAGACTCTTTTATACTTATAGAGTGGGTTTGTGATTTTTAAAGATTTTTCCTAAAATTCAATTGCTCATACAGGTAAGGGAGAAAATAGATTTTTTTTAAAAGAGAGACTTCCAGCTCCCTCCCTTTTTCATTCCCTGCTAGTATGATGGATGGACGGCGCAGACTGAAGAAGGGAAGATCAGAGGTACTTTCCATGAGAATGAAATTACGCTTCTATTCTGAGGTCAAATTAAGAAATCCCACACATTTTACAATCTGCAATGCAGTTTTTATAGGATAATTTGGGGGCTGGGGAGCTAAATTATCTTTTTAGATCCTGACATTCTGAGTGGCAGGCAGGAGGGTTAATTCTTGCTCTATTTTACAGAACTGAAAACTGAGGCTTGGTAATGAAGTCTCCGGCCCAGGTTGACCCAGAAAATAGGTGGCAGAGCAGAGACCAGAGCCCAGCTCTTTAATTCTGGTGTCTTTCCTAATTAACCCACTGAAATGGAAACCAGTGAGACTGAGAAGACAGAAGCGTAGCCGGCTCTTCCCAAACAAATTTATGGCGTGCGGCATGTGTCACTAGCTAACATCCATGCTGCTCTACATCATTCATTGTTGGCTGGGTTGTCTTTGACACCCCCATTCCTCCCCAGCAGTGACCACAACTACCCTTGGGACCATACCAATCAAGTAGTCTCAACTTCAAGAAGGAGAGAAACAGTTTCAAATCCACTAAACAATCGGTGAGTGCCATTTATGAATCCAAAAACTATTCACTTTCACACCTATTAGGCTGGCTGTTATCAAAAAAGAAGAAAAGAAAATAACAAGAGTTGGCGAGGATGTGGAGAGATTAGAACCTTTGCCCATTGCTGGTGAGAATGTAAAATGGCACAGCCGCTGTGGAAAACAGCATGACAGTTCCTCAAAAACTTAAACAGAGTTATCGGGTGATCCAGCAATTTCACTTCTGGGTGTATAGCCAAAAGAATTGAAAGCAGGGACTTAAGCAGACACTTGTACACCCACATTCATAGCAGCAGCATTATTCACAATAGCCAAATGATGAAAACAACCCAAGTGTCTATCAGTGGTGACTGTACAAACAAAATGTGGTCTATACATACAATACTATTCATAAGACTTAATATTATTCAGTCTTAAAAATGAGTGAAATTCTAACATATGCTACAACATGGGGAAACGCTGAAAACATCACAGTAAGTGAAATAAGCCAGACACAAAAGAACAAATATTGTATAATTCCACTTTTACAAGGTACCAAGAATAGGCAAAATCATAGAGATGGGAAGTAGAAAAAAGGTTGTCAGGGCTAGGGGCAGGGAGAGCTGGAGGGTTGTTACTCAATGAATTTCTATTTGGGATGACGAAAAATCTCTAGAAAAAGATGGTGGTGATGGTTGTAACAACACTGTTATTGTACTTAATACCACTAAATTGTATATTTAAAAATGGCTAAAATGGTAAATTTCATGTTATGTATATTTAACCACAATAAAAAATATATATTTACTGAGTGCTAACCACAGGCAAGACGTCGTGAGGGTTATGGAGGTTGAATCAGGTACAGAATCTGCCTCAAGTAGCTTGCTGCTTCCAGGAGAGCTGAACCTAAAATAAATCACTATGATGTCCCTGGGGTGTGAGAAGTGGCCCTGAGCAGCGGAGATTATGCCCTGGGAGTTTGGAAAGTGCAAGGCTGGGACTAGAAACCTGTGGCCTCCTCTAGCAGGCCTCTTGGCCTCAGGCCTTTCCCTCAAGCATCCTCCAAATGAGGGGGATTTCAGGCCGGATGGCCGGTGCTGGGGTATTCTCTGGCGCAGGCAGGAACCCCGGGGTGTGGGGGAAAGTGGCCGTAACCTCCCAGAAAGGCAGCCGCCCACTCGGTGAGGCCACTCTGGGCTGTGTTTTGAAACGCTGCTGCGGATGTAATGATTTTGGGTGGAGGACGTTTAGGAGCCAAATGAGTTTGTGTGAACAAAAGACTCAGCTCTGACTCTGGACTGTCCAGGCCTCTCAGGGACTTTCGTTTCCTTCCTTGTTCTTACTCTGAAAGGAGCAGCCCTAAGAAAAACCATACACAGTCAGAAGTGTTTGGACTTGAGGGCCAATGATCAGGTTTTAAAAAAGCTTCCCCGTGACAGCTCTAGTGATGAAGGGCATGAAGTCTGCAGCGCATATTCCCCTCCGCTCCCTGGGAGGGGCCGGCTTTGTTCTGCAGGCGTCCTCTGGGGAGAAAGGCCCAGGGGAGGGGCCGGCCTGCGCTGCTGAGTGGGTCAGCCTTCCAGAAATAGAGCTGGCCCTGAGCTGGCCTCTGGGCATGGAGTGGGGGATGCAGGAGTGAGAGATGAAAGACCTGGATGTGACCTCAAGCTCTTTGCTTTAAAAATAATTCTACAGGCTAAGAAAAAAAAAGAGAAAAAGCCCTAGGGTCAAAGGTCAGAAGATGCCCATTCAGTTAAATCTGTGAACACAAAGGCTTTCTGTGGGGGAGGGTCTCCCTTGTTTCTAGGGCGCACCTGACCTGGCTGCCTCCATTTTCTCTGCCCGTCCAGTCCTCTGAAACGACACACCCAGCAGAGGGCTGAAGAGGTGGCTCTTTGGCCACGGGGCCAACTGCCCGCGCCCGGCCTGATCGCCCCGGCCCAGGCAGGGCGCAGGAGGGGAGCAGGCCCGTGCCGCCCGCGTCTCCCGTGCTGTCACCATAACTGCGCTCACACCCGAGAGGAAGCAGGCGGCCGGGCTCCACCAAAGGAGACCGGCCAGGTTAGCGAAACAATGCAGGGGCAAGGAAAAACATCCTGGTTCTGAGGAGGAAGAGGGGGGAGCTCGGGGCCAGGAGGGGCAGGAAGGAGGGCCTGCGAGGGCGGAGGGCGGCGGAACGCTCCCGCCAGCGACTCCCACAGTTCCACAGGTCATTTTCGCCACAAGCCAAGGCGAAGTGGCCCAGGACTCTGAGGAAATCACAGAAACATCGTCTGTCTGGACCGTTTGCGACCTCTGTCAGAAAAGGGACACAGCGGATGATGTCTGGGCACAGAGGCTCTGCGGCCGCCGCCGCTAGCGAGCCGGGGCCGGAGGGGGCCAGCAAGTAAAATCTAGTTAAAAGAGAGAAATTAAAAGTTTGCTGAATATGCTTTTTAAATTAAGATTGGGCAATCTGACGCTCTATTCAAATATAACCAATATTTTTTTAAAAACTCAGTTGTGTACCATAACCGGTTAAGAAAAAGAAATAGAAGAAGAAGAAAAGTAGGAGGCTAAAAAGAGAAATAAAAACAAAAAGAACTAAAGTTAGGGAACTTAAAAAAAAAACAAAACACTAGAGCAGGGTAATAAGTATTATTATTGTTATTATTGTAGGCACAACGTATGTAGCGTTTGCTCCACGCCAGGCACTGCGCCAGACATTTCACACGGGTCCTCTAGGTCCCTCCTCGTGACAGCCTTGTGAGGTGTCGTGTTATCATCCGGCTTTTCTGGTAAGGGAACTGTGGTGTAGAGAGATTAAGTGATTTGCTCAAGGTTACACAGCGAATAGGAGAATCAGACCCAAACCCAGGTCTGTCTGATTCCAAAGAAAATCCAATTTAAAAAAATACAGCAATTGGGAAAGAGTGCAAGCTAAGAAAGAGCAAAACTAAGATGGAGCTACAGCGAAATGGGAACTTGTGCTGAATGCAGAGGCCAGAAAGGCTGGAGGCAGCTTCCTCCACGTGGCCCGGCGACGCCTCACTAAGGACACTGGGATCCAAACCGCAGTTTCGTGACACAAACGGGATAGGACATCTTGATGTCCTATGGAGTCCACTGTCCAGATGTGGTTCGGTGTTCTGGCAGGATTCAGAAGAAAGGCAGGAAGAGAGGATGGGAGGCAGAGGAGAGAGAAGAGTTGACAGTGATTAATGTGAGTGAGAAAAGGTAAAAAAAGGTGGCAAGAGGCAAAGATGATTGCGGTTCTGACTGTGTGAATGGGAGATTAATAAGCAAGCAAAGAAAGGTCACGTTTGGGGGAGGGAGGAGTGACATGTTGGCGTGTATAACTATTACCTGTCGGTTTAAAGTGAAGCTCATTAAACACGTGAGAATGACTGGCAGATGGCAGAAGGCACAGAACTGGATTGTAGTTCTGGGACTCATCCACGCAGAGAAAACAGAGGAACCCACACGCCGTCTCCCTCCAAGCCTCTGCCCTGCAGTCCTCCCTACCTAGACCGTCCTGCTCCCTTCCCCTGGGCCTCCTGGCAAAATCTGATCTTTCCTCACAAGACGACTCTCTCCCTCTGGACTGTTGTTTTAGCTCGTTATACAATTCTAACTTATTTGATCACATTCCCAGGTCTGTGGCTCATAGGAGGCGCTCCATAAATGGTCATAAAACCGAGCTGAAGGTCAGAGGCCAAGGGTGGAGCTGTGAAGAACGTCCCACTTGGCGAGAGGGAGAGGAGGCAGGAAAGTTAGTCCTGGCAGCCAGAGACAGGTGAGAGAACAAGGAGATAGAGGACTGAAAAAGGCTGCTGACGTCCTCCCTTTCCCCACCTCCTCTGCAAAGTTCTGCTCTTCCATGTCTACCTAGTTCACGAAGCCCCGCCTCACTCCAAGTAATAACAATGCCCGGGTATTCGGGGAGTGTTAATGACTAACAGGCACACAGCACGCGAGTGTTCACAAAGCACATGCATGTGGTTTAGTTCAGCTCCTCTTTACCGCGACACGATGAGACTGACGGCACAGTTACTATCTCCATTTTACAGACGTGGATGCAGATATAGAGGTCGGGTGACTTGGCCAAGGTCAGAATCAGTTCACTGTATTGTGACTGAAATCACTTGCTATGTCACATTCACAAGCATTTTCACAATCATCCTCCAAAGCCTTGTGAGGAGCAGGATAGTCATTATTATCCTCACTTTTAACATGAGGAAATTAAGGCCCAGGGACATTAGACAGCTGTCCAGTGTCACATAGCTGGAAAGCAGAAAGGGTTAAGAGCAAAAGTCCTCCGACCCCCTCAGAGCGTGCGAGCCCTGCTGGCGTCTCTCTCCCGTGACTCTGCCAACACTAGACAGCAGCACTCCATTACCACAAGGCACGACTACACTATAAATACTTCTTAACAAACCACAATAATTCACCTACCCAAGTGGTCTGAGCCTCTTCAAAGAGCCCCATTTAAGACAATACTTATCCTAACAATGCTGTTATTGCTCAAACAACTTTCTACAATTTTCAACAGAGCCTGTAGAATATTCTCTTGAGTTTCCTGAATAATGATACATTTCCATCCCAGGATAATGAATTTGGATTATTTTGGAAACAAACAAAAATTCAAAGCCCAGTCTGATGAATGAAGCGGGAGACTGAGCTAGGCGACCCCATTCTGGATTGAGGAGGAGGTCTGATTGCAAAGAAACCCCAGCACATTGCTCATGGGACCCACACAGTCTCTGACGGTGGCTCCCGGCTCCTTCCAACACTCAAAGTGTGTGTGGATAACCCCAAAGGTTCTCATCGGATGGAGAACTCATTGACCACAGAGGTCCAAGTAATACTGATTTTCAAAGGCTTTGGATTTTGCAGTCACATACTGTTTTTATTCTATCCTAATCGCTTCAATGTGTTCATCAGTCTCCTCAGATGATCATATGTGAGGATTGCTGCACTTAGTTAGTATTTCTGACTTCACCTCTTCCAACCTGGCTCCTTCCGCTCTGTGTTTGAGGCTAAGGATGGAGAGAGTTCTAGGGACACCAAGGGGTGAGGTTGGTAGGGGTCCGGAATGGGGAGGACCAGGTAACAGAGGTCCCTGGAACATGGACTTG